AGAATTTTGAAGCTATTTCGTTAAATAGCTATTTATATTGTAATAAACTCTTCAATTTTATAACCTTTTTCCTTTGTTCTTTTGAATCGGATGGATTAGGTTTACTGGAGATAATAGGCAGGCCTTTTTCTGACTTAATAATTGTACAAAGGAGGGCGTTTCGTACTATAAGGTGGAGGAGGAGGAGGGTCTACTGAAAGGTTCCTAATGAAAAAGAGACAGTAGAGTGGTTCTTTTCGTACAAAGGGGAGGGGGGGTTTCGAATTCGAAAAGCATACTAAGCTCTAAATAGAATATAATAAATGCAAATTGAACTATCAATTTATTAAATTCTATAAATATAATAGTCTAATTTATAAATTAATTAATCCATTCAATCCTAAAGAAATCAATTATAATTAGAAATCCCTTTTTAATATTTTAATTAAAGAAGATAATATAAAGAATATAATATTCTAATTCTTTATATAGATTATATATAAATATAATCTAATATAATCTTGTTCGTTTTTTCTAAGAATATTTTATTAAATAGTTTAAACCACTCTCTTCATTTTTTATACAAATATTTTTATATGAAATCTCAGAAAGTAATCTAATTTATAAATATCTTCAAAAAAGATAAATATTAATTAATATTGAGATCACTTAGAAGAAGAGAATTATTAACTGGAATCATTATATATAGTACTATATAGCCTATACAAAATGAATAATATAAATTAAAATTATTTAGAATAAGGTATGATTCTTCCTAATATATATATAGTGGGAAGTATCATGTGATTCGCTTAAGCATGTGATCATACGTTCCGATAATATATGTATATATATATATATAAACAAATCAATTAATCTTAATCCAACTCCAATTTCAATTCCAACCCATTAACAATAATAACACCTTACACACACAAACCTCCATTCTACAATCAACACTCTCATTATCATTACTCAATCTCATTACCGACTCTCATATCCATATCTCAACATACAAACACCCCAAACATAGTAGTGCTCTATAGAATAATTCCCCCAACTCCCTAACTATCTAACTATCTAACTATCTAAATAATTCACATCAGCTTCGCCTCGCAAAAATCAGATTCCAACGAATGAATATACGAAAATCGTTAGATTAGTCAATGTTATTCTCACAACTTTTAGAACTAGCCCTCCATATCCATATTCCCGCACTCCACTATACTTTTAGGTCTTCCTTGTATCTCCCCCTTTCCCTTCTCTCCTCCACTCCACTCGTTTCCCCACACAAAAAAGAGTGCCCGAAGTGTCGGGGAGTATCTGAATGGAGATGAATGGTCTGTAATGCTATGTGGAAAATAGGGTATCGCCTTAGCTCGTCGTTTTGAATGAGTAGCCAGTAGATGGCAGATGATAGCTACATAAATCACAATGACTATCTCAAGTATGACTCTCTATAGGGTACGGCAGGAAGCACAAGCTAGAAGATGTGGACGTTCAGAAGTTGTTATCATCAAGTGTGTTGATTGAATAGAAGGATAAGAACTCTGATATATATATATTAGAGCTCTTGCTAGATCGCATAGGAATTAACTCCCCTACTTTAACACCACACCAAGCACATCTTTTAACAATGGACTCGAAGATTTATAACGTTAACTCATCCAATTCAATATCAGATAAACACACAAGGAGACTTGGATTGGACCAGGAGAAATGAATAAACACTATAGCTACACATATTAAGAAACCCGATGACCTTAATGCAAATCAGAACATCAAATTTAGAGAAAAAGATGCTGGAATATCGTTATCCCCAACTTTTGAAACGAGTAATTCAACATCCAAATGAAAGAAAATCTTGCCGATATAACAAACTGTTTTTTTGGGGATTCTCGGATACATTCAACGCATCATAGCAATTCCAGTATACTTGTTTTACATCTTCAGCGAGATACAAATATTTGAAATTGTCTGAGGCATTGCTTGAATAGCCATCTAAAGTAGATCGTAACATTATATTGCGACCTGGAAAGAAGCTAGATATCAGGAACCTGACATCACGAACTCCGACATCATCTCGATCTCACAAGGACCTTTAATACAAACATGGTTACAAAGAGATGATGCAGTGAGTACACTAGTCCATACCGACGAAAATAAGATTTATCGTTGAGATGAGATATGAGATTAAGTGCTCATAAATGAATGAGATCTTGTGGCATGGAAATAATGGAGATGAATTCATGGGGCAATGCAGTGTCAATGACGATCTTGAACATTGAAGAAATAGATAGATTGATGTACAGGCGGAAGATCTTTGTGAAATATATATAAAGAAACGTAGTCCATATTTTTCTAGTTTTATAGCTTTAGACCAATGATTGAGCGTTGTAACTATACAGATTGACGAAAATGAAGTTGTAAAACAGCTGAAATGGTTTCCTTTCATCCAATTCAAGGAAACGATTGGAATTGACGTGGGATCAAACTTGCTACGATATTTGAGATTGATGATTGAGACGAAATAATGCAGGTCAGAATGATGTAATAGTAACTGTGATGAGATCTTGATTGCAGTCGTGGTCCAATAAATTGTACTCGAATGTGATGTGTATCCAAGATTGATGAAAGATGAAATGTTGTGTTGAATTGAGACGATATTTTCAAGATTTCTCGAAATTTCATAGGAGAAACATCAAACAAATCATTAGAGGGTGATCAGATAGATGAAAGATTTAGATCATGCATCATGAATGTTTGATCTGACGACACTAAATCGAGAAGATTGATGATCTACTCGGATGTTGTGATATTGTAAAAGAGATCAAAACGTTTGCTCTGATGTGGTGATATCGAGAATCATCAACATAATTATCTTATGATGATCTTGAAGACACCTGCGCAATCTACTTAACATACAACATTCTATTACTCAACAGAACATCATTATATGCAGGAAGATACATAGAAGACTGCGGAATGATACTGTATATGTGCTATGATTAAAAATCAGAATAATTGAGAGGCAAATCAATATATTGTACTTCGCAAACAAAGCACAACTCAATCCTAGTACAGCTGAGGCATAATGTAGTGTAACTCGGTAATTTCCCAGACACCATACAAAAGTCTAAAGTGTCATATGATAGGGGACAAGAGATGGCTTGGCGGGGTATTTTCCGGAGATAGAATTCCTTGAGAAAATCATGAATGTCCGATATGCTGAGAAACAATCAATCAATGGTTCTCGATGCGAATAAAATCGTACGAGATGTAATGTACAAAGGAAGTTCGGAGAAGTCCAAAATGTGATAGATTATTATGCGATTAAGTTAGGCGAGGGGAAGGATTCAAAGGCAATACAGTAGTAGATCCCCTTAATCCATTCAATGCATCAATGATGTCTTGCAGCTCTTGGAACTTTTGGAATCCGGGTTGACGGGGACTCCAATATCTGCTGGTAGTGGTGGGGAAAATGAACTACCATGATCCAAATGAGGTAGATGAAGCATATGAGATGTTGTGTTGTATGGTTTGGGTAAAAAGAAAGAAAGTTTGGAATGAATTGTCGAATATTGATGGATGGTGATAGAAGTGACATGGTGGGAAGTATAGTACGTGGTGCTGCATTTGCATGAAGGCTGGTAGCCATTCATTGATTTTTTCTGCATATGAAGATATATGGATGGTAGGAAGTGTATGAGATGCAGTGGTTGTCAGACTGCAGAAGTGCAAAACTACTGCGTGCTGTGTATTATTTCTTTCCTTTCTTCCGACTTTGGAAAATCGAGAATGCTGTACTCAGCACACCAAGGGTTATTAATATGATGATTGGATGGATGATGGAGGGATGGATGGATGGACGAGTGAAATTCTAGACAAGAAAAGATTGATGAAGAAAAAGTCGTACAGTATGCGAATTATCACGATACTGTTTTAACAAATAATTGAATGTTGTGTTTTGATAGGAGCGAACACTGAAGGGTGGAACATCCTACCTACTTGATAGATTCCCACTTCTCTCGCATTTAGAGTGCATGGTGCATCTGAAGTAATCTTACATGGAGCGTGGAGTTGCTTTTGAGTAGTTGATGATCGCTCGTTACCAAGTACCCAAAGGTAGGAATTTGGATATGCAAGTGAGTGTCAAGTACCTTGTCGTGAGCTAGTCATCAATGTATATGTAGATGCAGGTGGTAGGGGGATGGTATGGATGGTATGGATAATATGAATGATATGAATAATGTAAGCGAATGAATAACTATATTATAATAGTTGGTAATAGTTAACCAAAAAAAACAAAAGATACTGCGTAATGTAACGCTCAATATACCTACCTAGGTATTATATATAATATATCGTGCAACTACTCCATAGTTATATCATATATATAATGATAATGTTATATAATCTCTTGTCAGCACGCCGAGTTGCGATTCCCAACTGAATCATCCAAGCCAGCCAATACATTCCATGCAGAAATCCTGTTTGATGCCCTCAGCCTCAAGAATGATTCGAATCCCCTCTTCTGCCTACAAGGGAACCATTGCCTCGAAGAAAGCCTTGTTCTGATTTGCTTTTCGCCGTTGGAATTTCTCTGTACGTACTTGGTAGTAATGAGTCAATAAAGCAAACAATGGGTCTGTTTGAGGCGATTGTAAACTGTTGACTCTTGAATGCCCTTGGCGAGCTGAATGCACTATACTATGTATGCCTCTTGATGCGGACCGAGGGTAGCATATATTTCAGTCGTTTGAATGGTCTGCCAAACATGGAATTTACGTAGTGGAATTCTCTTTCGCCGTTGGTTTTAGTTGATCGGATCCAGTACCGTACCAGTATCAGTACCTGTATGGTATCGATGGTTGTAATTCTTGGCAATAAATTCCTAGTCATCTCCCTTTCCAAGAGCCGTCGGCAGTGTATCGAGTAGTATCAAGTAGTATCGAGTAATATACCAACTATTGAAGCAGAAGATGATTTTCACGATACGATATGCGGTAAGATATTGTACGTTACAAGGGAAGAGGGACGAGGTGGACATGATTGACAGGTAGAGATAAGAGTAGGACATGAAAAGGACCAATAAATTCAGTTTTTTCATTCGTTCTTTGGCTTTTTAAAGTCATTGATCACGAGCTTTCTGCTAACTTTGTCATTCTCGTACATATTATATGTATATGGTCTGTCGACGCTCAGCCTCGTTTTGGAGGGTGTTGATAGGAAGGGAAATGGCCAGAATCTTTATCACTTCACTCCTCACTCCTCACTCCTCACTCACTCACTCACTCACTCTCTCACTATCGATTAGCCTCAATTGCAGGGAAGCAGGGTTAATTTATTTTCATGAACATCAACCATCACCCAATGAGAATGAATCAATGATATCACATTTCAAGATATACATCAAGTCATTCACCATCCATTCACATTAATCCTCAGACTACCTAGGTAACATTGGAATATTACCTTATTAATCACACTAGCTATCCGTCAAGTCACCACGACGACAAGCTTCCAAAGGCAAATAAAGCAAAACTTCTCCTCTTCTCAGGTCGGTGATGGATGCACCATGGGAATGCTTGAGCGATTGAACGATTGAACGATTGAACGCTTGAACGCTTGAACGCTTAAACTGCCACTCATTACATTTCACCACCCAATTTACTCTTTCGTACACTTATTGTTACCCAGAAGTATTACATGCATGACCGTCACACCGATGGAGACACTACTAGCTACCTGCTACCTAATGACTACCTACCTACATACCTACCGGCAGACTACTTAATGAAAAGGATTCACTTCCCCAGCGTGGCTCATTTTCGATCTGAAGTAAGAGGAATTCCCGGCGTGAGAAAGTACGTGTATACCGAATTTATTACATCCATTGCAATCAATACATCCCTCACTACATCCATCCATTCCACTCCCAATTCTATATTCTATATTCTATTTACTTACACGTTCCCTTCATACCCCCTTCACCACTTTGCTATTGCCTTCGATTGAGAATTCATCATTTGACTTGACCTTCAACCTTCCTATCACCAATTCACGGATATCAAGGCGACCTGCATCAGCTGAAACAAAGCAATAATCCACGAGGTAAGTGTCTGATGATCAATCTACCCGGTCAGCAAACAATCAATCTGGTGATTGGTAGCCGTGCAAGAGTTACACTTCATTTCTCTACCATACGGCTACTACCGCCCTCTGCAAGTACCTCACGCTACCTTGGTAGTCATCATATACGTCAAAAAGATCCTCTGCCACAATCATAGTGAATTTGCAATATGCGCCCTTTCTGAGTCCATTTCAAAAATCAAGCTAATTCAAGAGGAATCAGCTCAGGTCATTTATTGGATTCCAACATTCGATAGTCCATCGGCAGAAATACAACCTGCCACTTCACAATCTCATATTAGGCAGTCAGCCGCACAACCACATTATTCCAAATTACATAATAATTCAACCCTGACAAAATTCATTCCTTCACAACGGCTACCTTATTGAAGGCAGGAAAGAATAAGTGTTAGCCAAACAAGATGGATACTCCAGGTTCAAGCAAAGGTAGTGATCAAGCAACGGAGAGGGAGGAGCCTGCAACAGTGGTTGTTGGAGAAGGGTCATCAACTACACAAATTGAAGCTAAACCGCGACAAACTACGGATAAGCACGGTAACCTTAAAGCCAAGACATCTAAGAAAGATAAGGCAGATAAGAATTGCAAAACCAAGGGAAAGCAAAAGAAAGAAGTGGTAGAGACCGAGTCGGAGAGCGAAGACGATGAATCTTCTGATTTAGATTCCTCTTCATCTTCTTCCAGTGATTCGGATTCAGAAACCGAGTCTGAAAAGGAAAAGAAGAAGAGAAAGGCAAAATCTAAGGCTAAACAAAAGTTAAAGGCAAAGCGGAAGGCTAAAGCGAAGAAGAGAGCCAAGAAAGATGTGGGTATCAATCCATTCTATTTTCAAATCCACTAAATACTAACAACCTTCTAGGATACTTCTGACTCCGATTCAACTTCCGATTCGGATTCTGAGGAAGAAGATGAAGAAGCCGAAAATGATTCTGGTGATGCCGATGCCGATGATGATGCCGATGAAGTCGCCGAGGTCACTAATGCTCAAATTCTAGCCCAAGTGATGCAGCTTCAAGCGATGCAAATCCAAGCAAGCCAAAGAACCCAGATATCTCACCCTGGTACACAATTACCACCTGCCACAATATGGAATTTACCACCTCCACCTCCACCAGCGAATCCTCTTCACCCTGATGCAAGACGCCAAGCTTTACGTAGAAAGCTTTTGATGGATGGGAGGAAGGAAGTCACAAAGAGTAAGAAGGACAAGGGCAAGAAAAAGAGGGGAAGTAAGCTGGAATTCAAGAGAGTGGATCAACTATGGGATAGCACAATCCATAATTACAAGCTCACCGACACGGCCGAGGATGAAGAGAGTTCGGAATATGATCAATATCTTTTTAATGTTCGCAGAACATTTGATTGGGAGGGAAAATATAAGGTATGTCTCCGAGCTTGATTATTAGATTATCTGCTAATATTCTGAAGGCTACGGTCGTTGATATCAAAAGTAAACTTTTGAAAGAAGCCTTGACCGAAGCTATGGATGGTGTTAAAGGTGTTAGTTTTGTCGAGGAAACCCCATGCATTGATCCTAATCTTCTCTTCCTATATCTTGAGGACCTTCGACAATCTTGCAAAAAATTGAAAAACAAGAAGGTTACTGAAAAGAAAGGTAGAAAGAAGATTAAGAAGAGAAATGAGACCAAGAGAAAACATCTCAAAGTTCTTTTGAAATATCTCGACAAGGATTATGCTTCTACTAAAAAAGCTCTTTATCCTATGTTGGAGAATGGAATTATTACTTTCGATTTACTCTGGGCCTTGTATAAACCAAATACTTTGGCTTATACCACAACTTATGGAACAGCAGATGAGCCAAGAGCTTTCAAAATCGAGTTGGCCGAAAAGATTGTCAGTTTCATGAAGGGAAGTTGGTATAATATTGAGGGTAAATATTTGGAGTATGATGGAAAGACGTGGGGAATGGGTATGTTATATTCTATGTTCCACAAAGTCAATTTATTCACGTCATTATAGGTACCATGGATTGTGATGTTCCGGCTTTTAAGGGTGCAAGAAAAATCACGAGTCTTAATTGTTATCCTTTGAAATATCACAAAAATGAAGCCAAACTTCGTACCGAGCTTGTTGAGAGAGGTAAGAAGTTTGTGGCTCTACAAGGTGTTCATTATAAGAGTCACAAAGGAATGGCATATTATAAGAAGCGTAAGTCCATTATCAAAGTAAATATTGATGGCAGAGTTATGGTCGATCCCGCTATCCATCGTCGTATTTTACCAAATTACAACGTCAGTACCGTCAAGCCTAATGATCCGGATCTTTTCGGCGATTCAGGTAGTGAGGATGACGACTGTGGCTGCTGTGATGATGAAAGCTCTGATGATGATCAAGGAGATCATTCTCTAGAGAAGAGAGATGATAGTGATGAACCGAAAACGAAGTTTAAGGTTGTTCTTGATGAAAAGGAGAGACCTCGTTTAGTTCAGGTTCCTGTCGATGAAGACGGTAATGAAGTCATTGTTGAAAAACTGGAAGAAGTTCCAAGTACAGTTGTCGACAAGGATGACAAGGACAACAAGGATAACAAGGATGAAAAAGGACAGGTAGAAGAAGACAAGAAAGCTCCTCCCGTCTTTACAGAAGAGGAGTACTTAATTGCTTCTCCTGTTGTTCTCGGATTTGCATTTGCCGAAAAACTTTGGCTCGAATTCACAGTTTCAGGAATCAAAGATATTGTTTGGAACGAAGGAGCTTATGATTCCCTTGTCTTGGAAGACAACACCAAAGCCATCGTCAAAGCTTTAGTCGAATCCCACAAATACCACCCAGCCGAAAGTATCGACGATGTTATTCAAGGTAAAGGTAAAGGACTTGTTGCCGTTCTTCATGGCCCACCTGGTACAGGTAAAACTCTCACCGCAGAAGGCATCTCGGAACTCCTCAAATGTCCTCTCTATATGGTTTCAGCTGGAGAACTCGGTACCGATCCACGTACTCTGGAAGCAGAACTTCAGAAGATTCTTGATATTGCTCATGCATGGGGTGCAGTTCTTCTTCTTGATGAAGCTGATGTCTTCTTGGAAAAGAGAACTATTCAAGATATTCACCGTAATGCTTTAGTTTCTATCTTCTTGAGACTTTTGGAATATTTTCAAGGTATTCTTTTCTTGACGACAAATCGTGTTGAAACTTTCGATGATGCGTTTCAATCGAGAATCCACATCGCATTAAGATATGGTGATTTGAGCCCGAAAGCAAAGAAGAGTGTTTTCAAGATGTTTATTGAGAGAGTTAGGGTTCTGGAAGGTATTGATACAATGCCTTTTACAGAGGAAGATTATAATGCGTTGGCGAGGAATAATTTGAATGGACGACAGGTATATTTATCATTTATTACATTTCTTTTCATCACCCTTTCCGAATCTGGGTCGGGAATATCACTAACAATCTTCTAGATCAAAAATACAGTCCGTACAGCCCAAGCTCTCGCTGTCAATAATAAAGAACCTCTTTCCATGGTACATATCAAACGTGTACTGGATGTCTCGAATGCTTTTGATAGGGACTTGAAAGGAGGAACAGGATTTGAGGATGCTATGAGAGGATACTTTTGAATCTTTTCTATTTCTATTGCTGGCGATGGTTAGGAGGAGTGGTGGTTGGGGAAAGGCAATGGGATTTCTTTGGGAATAAACAAAAGGAAATTTTCAATGATCTGTCTTTCATTTCTCTTACTTTAATTATGTGGTGAGAGGTTGGCGGGGGAATGTTGGGGGTAGGAGGGAGTAAGCTGGTAATCTTGGGTATTGACAATGTTCCTTACTCTGGTGTGCTTTTTATAAATTGATTTCATTTAACTTTTGGAGGCGATCTCTGGTTGTGCCAACAATTGAGGTGTGTGGATGGAGAAACAAGGGGGATGAGATGGGAAAATGATACATGTGGAAGCTTTCACATGGTAACAACCACTTTGTATTTCTTGATTCAATAGGGATGAGGATATTGGATAGGAGAGTTTAGGAGGGTGGGATATGAAGGGATGGGATGAAGTGTGTCATGAGCGGAGAATTTTTGCACACATACCTACTTATTTACATAGCATGCCTAGCATAGCACAGCACAGCAGCCCTAGGGCTTAGCCAATTATGAACAGCAATGTATTTATTTGATTTTTACATTTATATCTTCTTTCTTTTCTATGAAATATAAACAATCTAAATCTATCCCTTACCCACCTAGCTAAATATCACATATTCATCATGCCTACCCACCCACTCACTCACCTCCCCCGTATCTACCCCACTTCACCCCACCAATACATGATATATATCTCCCCTAGTCCCCCTTCACCCAAAAAGCAAAAGGGGATGTAGTATAGTGGTATTATGTTCGCTTCGCATTCTCCATCTCGGTCTCATCGACCGATAGATACACACGTGTGATTGTGAAAGGTCCCCGGTTCGATCCCGGGCATCTCCATGTTTTTTTTTAGGGCAGGGGGGAGGGGAGTGAGTAGATAGTCTTCCTTAGGAGGGGGGTAGATAGATAGTGGATGGATGAATGGGAGGGAGGAGGAAAGAAGCGCACCCCGGTTGGTATTTTGAGCTGTGGAATTTTTGAAATTTTGGTACTGTATTTTGTGTTTGTTGGTTTGGTTTGGTGGGGTAAGCCTAGCTAGCTGGCTGTTAAGCTCAGCTCAGTCGATGCGAGAATTTCCCGTCCATCTTCTCTCGCTCACCCTCCCTCCCTCCCTCCCTCCCTCCACTCTCCCTCGATATCATTTTGAGTGGGGTGAATGAATGAATGAATGAATGTATGAATGAACATTCTCAAAGGCCACCACACCACACTCGGGCTCTACAGGAAGCAAGAGGGGGCGAGAGAAATTAATTATGGATGGTGAAGTGGGCTGGTGGGTGGAGGGTGGGTGGAAATGGACTGGCTGGATGGATGGAGTGGGAGCAGTGGAGTGGTGGAGTGGTGGAGTTGCTTGATGGGTTAAAGAAGAAGCACGGTGACGAACGAGCAATGGATATTTATAGTTGAGAAATGAGGATTCGGAACGGAGGGAAGAAGCAGTGAAGGAGGAGACGGCTAAGACGGGATTCGGAACGGGTGAATGAATGGGATTGGATGGGATAGATCGAGATTGTAGAAAGTAAGGGAGGTAAGGTAGAGAACATGATAGCATAGTCTCTTTTGACCGGAACCTCACATCCAAATACAAAAATTCATAGATATACATAAATAAAAGAGGAGTCATTTCATTATAATTTTACATCGCTTGCATAATACATTGCCTTGAATCAAATAGCTAAAATCATGACCAAACATATCTCCATCGAGTTCATCAAAAAATCGAGATCTTATCTATATTCCTTCATTTCATCATACATGTACATACATGCAACAAAGAAAGCGCTAGTATTGCATTGGAACCGAGAGATTCAAAGATTCATTGTAAAATTCATTTCAGAAATTGAGGTATGTTGAAAGTTGGGTATTTCGGACTATTTGTTCATAAAGATTTTGAGAGTGAAGTTTTTGAGTTTAGTTTCCTGGGTTCTTGGCGACGAATTCAACACCCTTTGCGATGTTCTGAGAGAAAAATTTGTTAGTATTAAATCCAAATAAAATAGAAATAAATCTCTGTATCATAGAAAAACGAACCTTCTTCAAGTCGGCCAAGCATGCCTCCAACAACTTCTCTTCAGCAGCATCAACCTTTCCAACTTCCAAAATCTTTTGAACACCATCTGGTCCCAATTCAACCTTGCTAGCGAAGAAATCAACACCTTGATCCTTGTACAGTGGGCTGTCGACGAAAGTTGGCTCAATAACACCTTTCTCTCCATGGGAAGCCTTCAACAAAGATTCGGCCATACGGGCACCAGCCATAGCCATGGAGAGGGTAGCGGATCCAGCACCATCCTTGGCTTGAACGACTTCATCACCACCGAATTGAACACGCTTGAGAAGGTTCTCGTTACCGACGAGATCTGGGTGGGAAGATTGAGAGAAGAGAGGAACAATGGTAACACCAGAGTGTCCACCAACAACAACAATGTTCTCATCGGCTGGGTCGGACTTCTTAATCTCACTAACGAATCTGCTAGCTCTAACAACATCCAAAGTGGTAACACCGAAAAGTCTCTTTGGGTTGTAAACTCCCTTGGCCTTGAAGATCTCGGCAACAATTGGAACAGTTGAGTTAACTGGGTTGGAGATAACGAGGATGTTGGCGTTTGGTGCAGACTCAGCAGCGGCCTTTGCGAGATCGCGAACAATGGATGCGTTGGTGTTGAAGAGATCATCACGAGTCATACCAGGTTTACGTGGAACACCAGCTGGGATCAAGACAATTTCGGCATCTTTGAGAGCAGAGGCGAGACCAGTTGGGGTTGGCTCATATCCGGTAACCTTGGACTTGGTGTTGATGTGGGAAATATCAGCTGCGACACCTATTTATCCAATTGATCATCCTATTAGCATAACTGTACATCCAATCCCCTGCTTCTTGATCTCGTCGTCTCAACAATATATATTCAAGAAAATTCGACGAACCTGGACCTCCACGGATATCGTACAAAGCCAAATCGGTAACGCGGGGGTTCAACTTGAGGAGAAGGGACAATGGCTGTCCAATTCCTCCAGCAGCACCGAGGACGGTAACCTTGGAGAGCTATATTGTATATAACATTAGTTGGGATTCACAAAATGACGGAGCCAAGCCAATGAGTTTCGATCCAAAATATCAGACGAGAAAACATTATCTTACATCTCTAGCAGAAGCAGAGAAAGCTCTGGTTTGGACTGCGCCAGTCAATGCTCTTCTTGCGGCGAACATGATGTGAATCTATTATTATTTGATGAGGGAGTGGGAAAGGAGAAAGGAAGAAAGGAAGAAAGGAAGAAAGAATGTTGGAGTGGATTAAATATTTGAAGAGGGACAAAAAAAGACTTTCGGTGGAGAGGAATCTTTTCGTGTATATAAGCTGTTGTTTGTGTTGACCAAGGTTTCCGGCTGGTTCCCGATCGTTGAAACTAAACTTAAATGGGAAAGGTTGCATAATTTTGATGTATCACGTGTTGGAGGTGAACCGAGGTCGGCGTTTGAATGATTTGGGGTGATTTTCGGAGGAGGTCACAGGAGGATCACAGGAGACTATGTGCAAAGAAGCAATCTTTTCGAATCTACTTCTGGAGAGCTCTGTGATTGAAGATGACGCTCCGCTGGCCCTCCAGGGGCCACTGCCGTGGAGGCAGACTATTTCAACAGTGCTCGTACGGATGCATCCTGATATTATACAGTGCGTATTGTTCAAGCTGTATTCAGGATAAAGATCTATCCTTGTGTGAAGGTTATTGATATCTTGCTACTCGAAAAGTATCCATTCATTGAGAGTGGCCACATCGAAAGACTTGGCCTTATAGATTACAAACTCATCATATCTCCCTTCCTCTGCCTAACCATATACTTCCCATAGTTGGGAAGAAGTTTACCTTCTCTATAATCAGACCATGTCTCCAAGGTGGATGAAATGGTATCATGCTGAAAGTTTAGGTTCTTCTACTACGATACCTGCTCAAACACAATCTAGGGAAATGACTTGACATTCTCTCGGCAAGCTTTGAATATTGATCAATTGCGTCCCAAAGTCCTTCCGTGTTCCATGTATACCCGAGCCTCCAACCGCTCACCCGGAATATATATCCCATTCACCACTTGACCCAGCAACAATTTTTTACTTTAAGCAAGTGCTTCAATCTCAGGATCTAGTGGTCTGATTGGCACGGTTGAACAGTTATGTCGTTGATCAAATTCTACTCTTGGTTCGGATAAAATAGAGGAAACGTGGGGGAGCACAGGTGGGGTTATACAGGAATAGTAATATTTACAACTTTGAACATCAGCCTAAATGCAAAGATCTTGACTTCAATTACATAAAATGTATAACTATATAAATTTGTGTTGCGAGACGTGTAAAATTTCTCTTTATTCTTATGATTGAAAGTTCTTTCAATAGAGAACTTTTTGTTGGCACTCTTATTATAGTCGTACAAGTTACCAAGCTGCTCTCCTATTTACAACATGTCTAACGGCATACTTCGGGTAAAAGGCAATCAAATCGTCGACAAATTTGGCAAATCAGTCATCCTCCGTGGAGCGGGTCTAGGAGGATGGATGAACATGGAGAACTTCATCACTGGCTTTCCAGCCCAGGAACATCAGCATCGAGCTGCCATGTTAAAAGTCCTCGGCAAGGAGAAATATGAGTTCTTCTTTGATAAGTTTCTAGAGTATTTCTTCATGGAAGAAGATGCCAAATTCTTTGCTAGTCTGGGCTTGAATTGTCTACGTTTGCCATTCAATTATCGTCATTTTGAAGATGATATGAATCCAAGAGTTTTGAAAGAAAGTGGGTTCAAACATTTGGATCGTGTTGTTGATCTTGTAAGTTTATCTTGAATCTCTATATCTACATATATTAACACAAATAGTGCGCCAAACATAAGATCTATACAATTCTCGACATGCACACTGTCCCTGGTTCGCAAAACCCAGAATGGCATTCCGATAACCCATCAAACTATGCCTCTTTCTGGGACCACAAAGATCATCAAGATCGTACAATATGGTTGTGGTCGCAAATCGCCGCCCGCTACCGCGATAACCCATGGGTAGCAGGCTTTAATCCCATCAACGAGCCCTGCGATCCCCAACACCATCGTCTCCCAGAATTCTACACCCGCTTCGAATCTGAAATTCGCCAAGTAGACCCTGATCACATTCTCTGGCTAGACGGAAATACCTTCGCCATGGAATGGAAACACTTCACCACCATCCTTCCCAACTGCGCCTACTCTCTACACGACTATTCATCCATGGGATTCCCAACCGGTACCCCTTTCACCAATTCCCCCGCCCAAATCGACCAACTCGAATCGAGTTTCCTACGTAAATGCAAATTCATGCAAACCCACACCGTCCCCAGCTGGAATGGCGAATTCGGTCCCGTCTACGCCGACCCATCTTTCGAACCCAACGCCTCGGAAATAAACGCCCAGCGCTACTCTCTCCTAGGCGCCCAACTCCACATCTACGATAAATACCAAATTCCTTGGAGTATCTGGCTTTACAAAGATCTCGGTCTCCAAGGCATGGTCACCACATCTCCCTCCTCCCCATACAATTCCCTCATCTCCTCCTTCGTCGAAAAGAAACGCGCGCTCCAGCTCGATCTCTGGGGACCCCCTGCTTCGGAATCGCTAGATAAAGCATTAGATCCGCTCGTAAAGTGGATCGAAAAAAATGCTCCAAAGGCCAAAGAAGAATACCCGACAACGTGGGGTATTCAAAGACAGATTTTGAGAGGAGTAGTACAAACGTACGCTGTGAAGAGTTTTTCGGACGAATTTGCAGAGCTGTTTAGAGGGCTGGATGAAGATCAATTGGATGCTTTGGCGGGAAGTTGGAAGTTTGAAAATTGTATGCGCAGAGAGGGATTGAATAAGGTGTTGAGTGATTTTGCGGAGGTGAGGAGAAGAGGTGAAGAGGAGTGAGCGGTTTGTGATATAGTGCTGCCGGTCATATAGTAGGCTGGGCCTGTATTTCTTTTGACTGTTTTGCTACTATTATGATATTATATATTGCTTGCATCAAGAGAGAAGCTCGCTTTCCTAAATTTCAAATGAACAGATCAAGGGGGAACCAAAAGCTAGCGCTTCCACCTTTGATACCTCACTCCCCCACTCCCTCCGCCTCTCCGCAGTCTACTCAGATGTAAACAGAACTTCAAACCGAATAAGAGGCAGAAGCAATGAATGCGATTAGCATCCCCTACTACAAGACCAATTATGAACTAGCCGATCATACCATCCATCATAAGATACAAACCCCAATCAATTATCTTTCACTTTCCTATTCACAATCAAGCACTAGTGAAAACATCAATCATACGCTAAAGTATTCCAATTGTCTCTCAAACCCGCTATTTATATACAATCCGCTGATCTTTTCTATAAAAAAAGAACAAGAAAGAAGAAAAAAAAAACATACAGCTATTCGCCAAACCCAGCCCTTTCGGAACATCTGCCCAATTATCAGAGATCATAACCCTCTGCTCTTTCTTTTCCTTTTCGAGAAGTAAATACCATCGCCACCTCGATAGTGGGAGTCTGGCCTGCACTATTATCTTCATTGTCTTCTGCATCATTAGCTATGTCGTCTTCAACGTGTACATCATGCTCAACAGTCTTCCCCGTCTTATCAACAAGGGGCTGGCATTCCTCATCCGATTCAACAGCATCAGCATCAACATCCGCTCCTTCACTACTAACCTCCCTAACCTCATCTCCCCCCTCATTATCTCCCGTCTCACCAACGAGCGATTCGAATCCACCACCCGTCACCGCGACCTCCCCATCCGACCCCTCACTACTACTCTCCTCCCCCTCCTTTCCCTCGCCACCTCCCTTCGCCTCATTCTCACTCGACCCATTCGCACTATCCTCCTCGCCAATACCCTCATCAACCGGCATCTCCTCATTCGTCGTCGCCCCCATCGCCTCACCCATCAAAAGATCAATCGCGCCCCCAACATCACTCTCACTAACCAGCAGTGCCAAAAAAGCTCTTCGCGGCGGAACCCCCGTCACCATGATCACCTGCTGCAAATCATTCTGCGGATCCACAAGCAAATTCCTCATATCTTCCTGTGCGAGCGGATTCTCAGCTCGCAGCACTTCAGCCGCACGATCCGCATTACCCGCAGTAGCATTGAGCAGATTAACAGCTTCCACGCGCGAGGCTCCCAAGTCTCGGAGTCTCTGCATGGTTGCTTCGGGGATGGGCTCTTGGTATACGTGGTCCTCATTTTGCTCGTGACAGTTTGGCATACCGCCTTGTGAAGCCTCGTTACTATTAGTGGTCATAACAATGGGTTTGATTTTAGAAACTTTCGAAGAAATGTTAGTCTTAGGAATGTTATTCTTCGCCCTCAAGATATCTATCTTCTCAGCGATACTACTGCCTCCTTTTCCACCAGCACGACCTCTCGAAGATTCCCCACGTGTTTCACCTCGAAATGTTTGGCCCGGATGAGGCGCTGGGAACAGATCCGGAAGCGGAGCTAAAATTAGTGATGACCTTCTACGAAATAACTGCGTATCAGAAGAAGTTCTCGCGATATCTGCATCCGTCTCACTAGTAGTATTTCTATCGCGTCTAAAGTTTTCACTCGGAGCTGCGGCGAAAGGCCAACTATCCAAGACTCCCGCACCTATTGCCTTAACTGAACTAGGTTTACCAGTCTCCGAAGATCCTTCACGCGCATTCGAGGAAGAACCATCTTGTCTCTGCTGTTGCCCTTCTCTCGTATACCAATTATCAAATATTTCACGCACGCGACGTGCCCTCAACAAGTGATTATTCGCGCGTGTAACAAAGTTAGGAAAAGTAACAGCATCGCGTGGCTCATTGCTCACATCTACCATTTCGCAACTATTCTGTACATATTGACGAATATCATCCACTTCATTGGCGCTAAGTTGCGCTTCGAAGTTGTGCTTGGAAGTAGGAGCGCCGTGTATAATAGCATTACGCTTAAACCAGATTTCTTCCTTGAGAGCAAGAAATTTCCACAGGATATCCAGAAGTTCATTTCTAAATCGTCGTTGCGTATCAGGTTCTGTCTCGTTGTCTTCTTGCTGTATTTCAGATCGTCGTCGTGAAGTCTGTTCCGGCTCCGAAGCCTTCGGAGACTCAGCATCTTCAACATACTCAACATGTTCAACCTGCACTACATTGTCTCTCTCCTCCGATGTATCCGAATCCACCTCTCGAACCGTCTCAACAGTTTCTGCTCCCTGTTCCGAAAGATTGACAACTTGTCGAGGACTTTCATCTTCTACAGTTTTATTTTTATCTCCACTCTGCTCATCCTCCACCCCTGAGACACCGCTATCATCTCGATGATGTCTTTGCAATCCATCTTCTGTGCCGGGCATGACATTTCCCGTCGTTGCTGGAGCAGGTCCAGCTATTGCTCCTTCACTTTCTGAGCGATGTCTTATTAATCGCGCAAATCTTAGCCTGGTTTCCTTGAAAAATCTAGCCTCACGTTCATTCCCAATTCCTCCCCGCAACTGTGTTTGATTTCTCAAGTAAATTTTCGTCGGTCCGTAGGGCTTGGGTTCAGGCGATGAACTACGAAATAATTGGCGTTGAGCAATTCGTGCCAAATTCCTTCTTTTTTGTGATATTTTCCTTGCAAGCTTTGCACTGAGGATGGAATGACTTATCAGCCGATAGCTAGTTTTTACACCGAGTCTTTTCTCTTTCTTTTGAATCTTGTCTTCAAACTTGCCAGCCAAAGATTCCCCTCTTTCCTCGCCCTTTTTCCCTTCCATTGTTTCCAATGGCATCTTAAATTTATCGCTAATTCCTTCGCTGCCTTCGTACTCATCACTATCTTCAGCATCTTTGTTCAGAGGTTGTTTCTTGAATTTATAACAAAACATATCTTTGATAGATTTCAAAGGAATTTTAACCATCGCACGCAATTTATCGCGTTTGTGGCTAACCTGCGATGACTTTGAGGGGCGATTAATCGAGAGACTTTCAGCCGTCTTACTGGTCCCTCCCCTTAGTTTCATTTCAATCTCAAGTCCAGCGTACGAATGTGTAGAATTAGTGCTGATGTCGAGATTCTTCATGAAGTCGTGATGGTTTTCTGATTTAGATTCGGCGCTCGAGCTTTCAAGCCGATTGACTCGAGTTGAAAATTCAGGATTGAGCTTGACGATGAGAATTTCATGAGAATCAGTGCTCCGAATGCCGCGTCTTATATCAGTCGGATAGATACCATTAAAGTCATTCAGGTACATCAAGTCCACCCTTGGATCATATTCAGGAAACGATTCCGTAGCAAAGTTGGAACCACCATAACCAAGATCAATATGATGCTGAAAGTTGTAATGAAAAACTCTCCCGGTGATCCTGCTGAAGTATTGTCCGAAACTGTTTCTGTTTGAAGCATCTCCTCCACGAAGATGAGAAAGACATTCTGAAATAGATGAAGTCGATTCTTTGGCATCTGCTACGGATGGAGCATTGCAAGGCGTCTCGAGACTTGTTACGCTCCCAAGGCCAGTTGAAGCTAATTGCTCCGGGCTTGCCTTGGATGAAATGCTTTCTGAAATTGAAGAAGTCACTTCTTCACTGTCCGACCTAGATTTCACTACTAGGGTAGGGCTTTCTGCCACGGCAAGCCGTTGCAAAGCTCCATGTAGCTCAGTTTCTACCCATGGCCATTCAAGAATTGTACCAGAGTTGTCACTCTGCAAATAATTTGACCATAACTTTTTCTTGGTATCTTGTCGTTCCGTTTCAACCTGTTCTAGCCATTCTTTGACCACCTCAAAGCAATCCGGGGTTGGTTTGATAAATATTGGAGCTCCACCTTCATCTAGATCACTAGAAGAGTTGGTGGTTTCTAAAGGCTCGTCTTTCATGGTGGTTGTCATGTGTGTAGGTATTTGGTAGTTGGAATGCTTAGCGTTGGCCAGCATCTGCATCTTCCTCATTTGGTGATCCTGCATCGTTTGGTCATCAGTTATTGGCTGTCCCTTAGTAGTCGCTCCCATGATTTGAGGTATTAGTGGTTGCTGTATTTGCTGTTGAGATTGTTTATTGAGCTCTTCAGAGAGTTCGGAAAAGGCTGATTTTATAAGAGGCTTTTCCCCTGAGCTATCGTTTGATGTCGAATCCGAACTGGATTCTCGTGTAGATCTTGAGAGTTCATGACAATCTTCACGTAGCTTAAGACCACTCAACCGAAGACCAATTGAGGTATATTGTACCATTTTTGCATCAGCTTTGCTACAGGGAGTTAAATCGGTATTTGGAATTTCCGTATGGTGTAATTGTCGAGCCGGATATCCATTGAATATACGAGGGCGAAGAATGTAATGGAGTAGTTCATCGTGCTATCAATATGGTATCGGTAAGTATTCTAGCTAAGCAATTGGGTATCCCATCAGGCTTAACTTCAGCTGGGACAAAATCTGGATCAAGGGAAACACGTACATTCACCGATCCATGAACATAAGACGCAATATCTGGTAGGAATCGAGTCGTACCCACGGAAACAGGACAACCTTCGAAATTCCCCAAATTACAGGCAAAATCTCTCAAAATATCCTCCAGTTTTTCGTCAATTAATGGTATATATTCTGCCCCTTCGAAATTTAGCTCGACGTTGATGAATTTCCAAGGATGAAGGTCGTGTTTTCTTGGAACTATGTTAAGATTTTTGGATATAGATTGCTGGAATCTTGCATTAGAGAGCTTGTTATGGCTTATCGTCTTCCTTAAAGCATGGATTGCTCTCGAAAGTGACGAAGACGCGAATGTTAGATGAATAATGATCTCTGATAATTTGGGTTCCGCCAATAAAGCACGAATGGATGATAGGGCTGGGTTGGGTCGAAAACCCATATTGAATGAATATTCTAATCTTTGCTAAAATATTTTTTTTAATAAAGACAATGATAATAAAGTAGCTATCTATGCAAAGTAAATAAATGTTCGTGAATATTGAACGAGCGTAATGATTATGTGAATGATGATGATAATGAACGGGTTGGAGCTTTGCATTATAACACGAGAAATCTACCTCCTTTCGCCGTTCGTTCTTACCCTAGTTGTTGCTCAGCATAGGGATGAACACCTGAAAGAAGTCATACCTTCGCTCCTTCGTAATCCAGAGATCTTCTCAACAAACAATTTCTAGAATGTGACATCAATAAGAACATCGTGAAAGATCTGTTATATGATTACCGAACGTGTACAGTTGACATCAATCCAAATACGTGAATGCGGAGTAATTGAGGCTCCCGTACGCTCACCTTGCCGTCAAATCCTCGAGGTGACTTGAGCTCAGTATAATTAGGCATATACGATGGACTGCTCCTTTTTGGTCTTCATAGCGGCTAACAGAAACGCCTCACAGCTATCAGGACTTGTAGATATTGATTTTCTACCTCATACACTAGCTCATAACCAGCAGACATCATATCAAGATACTCTTAGGCAGATACCCATCATAACGACCCTTTGAAGCAACAATCCCCAGCATTTGTTTTCAACCCAATCTTAGTTGAACTGAATCCCAGTCATCGTATCCCATCATTAGCTAGTTTTCTACCCAGATACTTCTAAATAAAGCCATAGCCAGAAGCAGAAATAAAAGACCGTCCGTGCGTCTTGGAAAATCATTATTCTGAAAATTGTGTTATATCCGTAAACGCCGCCGTAGTAGAAAGAGAATGCGACGAATATCTTACAAAAATACAATGCAGATTGTGGCTTGATGAGCAGCAAGGCTAAAGCAGATAGGTGTCTAGGCGGAAGGGAGCTCAGAAGTTTCGGTCGAAGTACTTTCGGTCGGAGTAGCTTCGGCCAAGACAGCTTCTGTTGGGGTAACTTCGGCAGGAGGAAGACTAGCAGAAGAAACTTCAGCAGCTGAAGCATCAACATCCATTTTAGAAGATTCTATTTCAGGAGCTTCTTGATGAGTTTCAGACTCCTCGTTATCGCGGGTCTCTGCATCCGTGGGTTGCTCATTTTTGACAGCAACTGCCTCTGCTGCATCATTTCCTTCGGCACCAACGTCAAGTTCGTCATCCTGAGCTGCACTGCCTTCGGCAAGTTCATCGCCCTTTCCACCAACTGGCTCTTCGGCTTTAGCATCCTTCATGGCCTCATCCTCTTTCAAAAATTCAGTCTCTTCAGATCTTTCATCCTTCACGCTATTGAGAACCTTCTCTGCTTCATCCTTTTCATAGGTCTCCAATGCACGAGCAACTTGCAATCTCATGTGACGTTCCCATTTTGGCATTACTTCCCCACCAACTTGAGCATCATTGAGGACCTGCAAATAGTCCCTACGCAGAAGCAAATAAACTTCATCGGTCTTGTTGTTCATGCTCTCTTCGACTCGTCTACACATCTTATTAAGACTTGTCTTGACTTCATCACAGCATTCTTTGAACATAAAGTTGCGTTTCTGATCAATTTGAGCACGCATATGGCCTTTCATGCGCATGTACATGCCAGCTCCTTGAAATAATATCAACACCAAAATGAATGGAAAAGCAAGATTTCAACGTACCCTTTTCATTAGCACAGTATTGATAAGAAGGTGCCAAGCTCCTAGCTATTACAGGCACAAACTCTCGATTGGCATCACGTTGAAGATTGTTAATAGCTTCGACCATTTCCGTGGTTAAGATGGAGAAAGTTGCTTCGTAAGTTCGGAGTTGTTGAGACAGCATTGACAAGCCAGCAATTCCAGAACCATTTTTGACGCTTCTACTCTCAACTGCCTGATGAAACTTTTTCAGAATCAGATTGGCATTTGTAGTGAAACTACGCAATACAGAGGGAAGTCTTCGGGAAAAATTCTTCTCCCAATGGCTTGCCAGGTATTTCATGATTAGCTCCGTCAAGTCGCTGTTAAAATCATATGTTCCTTGGGCCGTTAGCTTTGGATTCTTCTAAAGACTATGCGATAAGGTCTTACCACTCTTGTTTCCATAAACACCATCTCTACGAGTAACGGCTAGTATCGTTAGCGTGGTAATACTATTCGTCTGGAGAGAGCTTACCCTTGTACGTCTGGAAATGCAAACCGCCGGCTGCACGATCCATTTTGTTGACGGGGGAGCCCCATTTCGCAACAATTCCAGGGGCCTGGTCCGCAGCCAAAGGGATCACTTCGCTGAACTTTTCGAAAATATTCTCGGTCAGAGCGTCTTTCATTTCCTTAACACACTTTCCTACAGCCTTATCGAGGCTTTCCTCTAATTCCTTTACGTTTTTCTGAAGCCAGCGCGCCTCCATGGCCTTTTGCGAATCTGAAAGATTGACATTGGTTTCATCATTGTTGGACCATAAGGACAAGGACAACACAAGCTGAAGAAGAGAATTTAGAAATCTACGGCAAGCAGCACATCAGCCAACTTCGGTGAGTTTCTTGCAGTGTGCTTAAAGTTGTGGGATCTAAAGAATCAATTATCAGTTGTTCATAAAATTAAGGGCTACCAAGTCAAAGTACCTCGGTTTCCTGGACATTACGAAAGCCCGGGATTTTAGCGTCCTTTTTCAATCTTCCATTCAACTGCTGATAGGCTCTGCTACTAACACAAAACACTGGAAGACTCCGAGCCACGGCGTCATAATCTCTGATGTCCTCATCCGGGTTGAAGTTTTCGGCATCTTCCTCTTCAGCATTTTCCATGTCGAGTTCCTTGATACCAGTCGCAAAGTCTTGCTGAATAGCGGTCTTTGAATAATTGTTGCGACCATCAATACAGATGGCTCTCATTCTGGTATCAATTTCCTTTCTTTCCGCACCGAACCCCTTCGATTCATTTTTGACATCTTTGATTGCAAGTTCAATCGCAACCTTTTCCTTACGGGCTTTCTTTTTGGTGTCCTTGAGCTCGTCAATCTTTTGTTCAATAGCTTCGATTGTTAAAGGTTCGCCTCTGTCCAGGTCTTCTTCCTCATCTTCGGTCTCATTGTCAGAAGCTTCATCTTCTACTTCCCGATCCTCATCCTCATCGTCATCAATAAAATCATCGTCATCATCTTCGGATTCGGACTTCTTCGACTTCTTGCGTGGCTTCTTTGGTGAAGAAGATCGCTTTCGCTTGGGAGATTTCTCAAGCTTAGCTTCGGGAGCGTAAACAGTCTTACCCGCATCTAAATCTCGTCTCAGATCATCCCAAATATCTAGGCTCTCGTCTGCATCGTGATAGACATCATTATACACAGCCATGCTTTCTTTTAATTCTGCAATGTTTGCATTAAGTTTATCAACTTCTTTGTCAATTTGGTCAATCTTTGCATAATCTTCTGTCATAACTTCTTCAAGACCCAAAGAATCTGAAGCTTCAAGGACCGAGATATCATCAGTCTTGGAGCATATAAACGTAATCCTCGAGAATTGCTACTTAATGATTAGCATCTGGGAGTCGAGGATGTCTGTCATATTCACTTACCCCATCATACTTGAGTTGGCGTTTAAACGATTCTCCCAATAGAGACTTCGCAGCTTTATCGTCGACTGCTCGATTAATAGGCGCACAACCCCATAAACCTGGTTTCTTATTAGAGAAAAGTCACAAATAAAGCCAGGAAGTTAAGGTGGTACCGGTGCATTGTTTCATGTAGCCAGCTGCCACAGCGGCGCGAGCTGCATTTGAGTCGTGAACACCAGGCAAGTCGACAATAACAGCTCCACTAATAACGATAAGCATTTTGAACGAACGCATAATTATTTTTCAGGTACTTACGTGGAGAGAGCATCGGCTTTTACAAAGATCCTCACAACTTTGATCAAGGGCCAAAATTCCATAGTCTTCTTCTCTTTCTTCTTCTCACTAGATTTGCCTTTCTCTTTGGTAGACTTTTCTTTGCTGTCAACATAACGTTGAAGTTCCTTGTAGAAAAATTCTGGAGAGGACTTCTCTATGCTTTTAGTAGTTCCGAGAACTTTGCGAAAATCGAATTCGGCTAGAAGCTCCTCAACGGTAGATTTCGCTAGCGTTTCATGCGTTTTGTTAGGGTAGACTAATGAACATGTTTAGAAAGTAAATTGTATATGATGAATTATTTTACTTCCCCGCCTTGATCTTGGCATATGCAATTCCAGCTTCGGTTTCTGCATTAGAACAATCTCGTGAGACCTGAAAATAAATTAGGGATATCATTTAGTAAGATTTGATTCTTTCCTTACATTGCCAGAAACATCAATCAACTCGTTCAGAGAAAGTGCAAGGTCTTTCTCCCAGTCAGATTCTTGGATAAACTCAATCTCTGCTCGATACTTCTCGTTCGGGTCATCGCTAGAGTTCCATGAAATTTCTGTAACAACGGCGGTGCAAGCGCGCATACTAGAGGTCTATAAGCATTTCAATTCCTTAGCGGAGCAAAAAACATACCAATTGGTGGGCACTAGGCGTTCTTCATCAAGCATGGCATTAATTACACTACTCTTACCTGCACCCGTATTTCCAACGACGCCAATAATTGTAGGTGTGTCAACAACCTGGGCTTGTAAAGTTTCTACAGGCATAGTTAGAATGGAAGAACACAATACACTGGTAACACTTACCGATTTGTTGCAGCCAATGGCTTATGTCTTGGTTTCCCTGAGCTTCCGGTACTTGGAGATGCTTTTTTAAGCCATTGAGGAAATCGTTTGTTTTCTTTACCTCTTCTTCTAATACTTCTGGTGAGCTATCATCCATGAGTTTTTGAAGTCTAAGCTTTGCGAGTTCGACAGTCTGTGGTTCTGGTTTTGGGCTTCCATTTTCATTTTTTGTCGCCAAGTCGTCATCTACGGGCTCCATTATGGTTTCATCTTCGACCATGGGGGCACGAGGGCCATTGGCTGAGATACCGGGAGTTTCTGAAAGGTGCTTTGTATCAACAGCATGTTTAGGCGAGGGAGGGCCGTAATTTGCTATGGGAAGATTCGACTTCTGGACATCCTTTGTTGAATAGTACTCACGGGCTTGAGCTGGCATTTTATCCCAGGTCCTGCGCAGAGAGGAGTCGATTTCAGCTACTTTGTAGTTAGTATAAGCTGGTATGGGAAATGTTAATTTGGAGTAGAAGTTACCGGGTGTTGCGCTTGAGCTTGTGTAGTTCCCACGATGTATTTCAGCAAAGGACTCGAAACCTAGGAGGGGATTCGACGCAGAAGAATTGCCCGGTGAGGGTGTATTGTTGCCATTCTTCCGAGCTTTCGATTCCCAGAATTGGCGCGATGCGGGCGTTAACACAGCCCATGACACCATCAAATCAGTCTCGATTGAAGCTGTTCTCGATTAGCTTGGGAATATACAGATTTCATCAGACTATGACCTACCAGGTGTACCTTTGGATTCCCAGTAGTTTTTACGATGAGCGTCAGCGAACGCCTTATAACCAGAAGTGGGTTCTGACGCAGGTGCACTTAGTTGAGTTGAGCCTGATCCTAAAGGTCTAGGGGTTGGAAACTGTCCAACTTCAGACACTGAGCGGGAGATGGCAGGCGTGTTGAAGGGGCTTGGAAAGATAGTTGAGACAACTGGTTCTGCCTTCACCGTAACCAGTGTTGGTTCAGGGTCGGGCCTCAATTTTTTGGGTGTTTCAGATGCAGATTGCATGCGATTTTGTGTTGCATCATCGATTGATTGTAATGGCGTTCGTCTGGTGTCAGAGACGTTATCGCCAGAAGCAGCTTTTGTACTCCAAAAAATGATAAATCTATCATTAAAATGATTGATTTGTTGCATCTGGCTTGTCAACGGTACCATGTGATGACCTTGGTGAAGTAAAACCATAACCCCGCATTTCTTGTGAAATGCTTTTTGTACTTTCGCAACAGTGTGTTTGCCTTTGACCTTGAACCAATGCACATTTTCCGAATTCAAGTTCGAGGCATTCTTATCAGGCTCAAGCACTGAGTGCAAGTGAATCAGTCAGCAATCTAGACATTTGATATAAGTCACGTACCAGCTGCCCAAAATTCGCCCGGTGCTCTTTCAGCTGTAGGTGCAACTGCCAAAGCTTTCTCATGGAACGCGCGATGTAACGCGAGCCCATGATCCTCCATTGTGAGAAGGTTTGATGGCGAGGTAGTGTGGTTTAGTATGTGTCAGTGACCTTTGACAATGTCTTGTCTTACGTTGCGGGGTAGCTGAAGTTGGGTCGACGAGGAGGCATCAATCGATGCGAGCGATATACGAGATTGACCTTAACCTTTCATATCAACGTGGACAACAGTTCGTAAGCAACAAAGTCTAAGAGTGGGTGAAGATGTAGTAGATTATGATTTTGATGACAGGTCTAGTTGAGAAAGGATTGAATCGAGTCCCAGTTCCAATCCTTACCATGTAAGTTTGTTCTGTTGAGACTCGATTTTTGATAAGGTTTACGCGACGTGACGTGAACGCGTAAGATGAGGGGCTGATTGCGAGATCACGTGGTATCAACAACAAGCCGCGTTCGCTAATTATGCGTACTTCTACTACCTCGGCTTCCCGCATTTAGAAGTATCCGAGCATCTTAAACGCGTTGATATTCGACGTACAGTATCGTGAAAAGTGATCGCTTACAATTCTCCATCCCCGAGAGACATACCTTGTAGTTTTCACCTCGCTTAAAATTACAAATCTCTCCCACCTCCAACCATAAACTCGGTCATTCAGTATGCCACCAAAGAGGAAAGCGGCTAGCAGCAACAGTTCCTCGAAGGTTGCCAAAGCAGCTGCCAATGCCACTCCTGCCTCAAGTACGGATATCGCGGGTGGAGATGTAAACTTTTCGAATGCGAATACTGTAAGATTCCTTATCATTTCTTAGCAGATAATCTCTTGCAACGCGGCAGTAAAGACCCAGACCCTGAATCCGACTTGAATTATCTTTTTTAGCTGTCTAAGAAACGCTCTTATATCGTTCTTGATTGGAAGTCCACAGATTACGACGATGAAGATGAGGAGGACGATGAAGATGGAGAGGACGATAAGGCTGAGGAGGATGATGAAGATGCTACCAAGAATGATGGAAATGGCAGGAAGGATCAGAAGGATAAGAGGCGGGGTAAAGATTTGGATCTCCCAAACCCAGGGCAGAAGTTCGGCGAAGAATGGTGTAGTAGGGTATCTGATATAGGATTTCCCATATCTCAAGATGGTGTAGAGCTTGCCCAGAAACTGGACAAAGAACGTGACAAGAGAAACCAAGATCCCTACGATGTACATATTTACAACGACTTCAACGGCTATGGGAGTTCTGAGGCCGTACAAAATTTTGTGAGTCTCCACATTAAGTTCAGTACCCCACTTTTCGGCCACCCCACTTTTCGGCCACCTCATAAATCTCACCGCTCTAACTAACCACCTTTCTTCAATCTTTAATGATTCAACAATTATTGAATCAATTGATTCAAAAATTTGATATATTGTCAATTATATTATAAGTAGTGGTTATATTGAAGATGATATTGCTATGGTACTTAGTGCTATAGTAGGAGGTATGATTATCAGAAAAGCTGGTTTGAATTATAGGATACTCTAACGTAAGTCATGGCGTAATGCGTCTAATGGCGTAATGCGTCTAATTGTGGGGGACCACCCCATCAAAAAAGCAACAATTCAACAATGGTCCGTCGAAAAAGTTTAAAAGTGCAGGAAATGGAATCTCGACTTTCTGAAGCAGTATTAGGAGTTCAAAATGGAAAGTATAAGTCTTCATATGAAGCTGCAAAAGAACTGGGGCTTTCTAAAGATACTGTGACGCGACGCGTCAAAGAGGGTTCATCGCGTTCTGAAGCACGTCAATCGCAACAGAAACTTTCTGCTGTACAAGAGAATGTACTTCTTAAGTGGATAAAGCAATTGACAATTAGTGGCTATTCACCAGGCCATTAGTTGTTAAAAGAATTGGTTGAGGAGTTACGTTCAAAACGGACTTATAATTTGGATTGCCTCTCATTTGACTCCCTTGAACTCCCACCACAACACCTTCTTGGTCATAAATGGGTTCCACGATTTATCAAACGACATCCTCATCTTACAGTTGTTATTGGCCGTCGAATTGAATCTGTAAGAATGGATGGTGCAACCAGGGAAACATGTAGTACTTGGTTTGACGCGTATCAAAAAGCGATTCAGGATTATGGAATTGAGAAGAAAGACGAATATAATATGGATGAATCTGGACATTCAATTGGGACAATGGAATCAACTCGAATTATTATCGATTCTACACTTCGTACAAAACATCAAGCACATCCAGGCCGTCAAGAGTGGATTTCAATGGTAGAGTGTATTTGTGCGGATGGATCCATTCTTCCACCACTCGGGATTTTTAAAGGTAAAAATGTCCTTCAAAATTGGATTCCGAAGGAAGTTCTTGGTAGCTGGTTCTTTTCAGCAAATACAAAGGGCTGGACAAGCAATCTTCATGGATTAGAATGGCTAAAACGCGTTTTCGAACCTGCAACTCGTGCAAAAGCAGGTGGCAAATATCGGCTTCTCATCTGCGATGGCCACGATTCTCATATTAGTGGAAGCTTTATAGCTCACTGCCTTCAAAATCGAATTGTACTTCTTATACTTCCTCCTCATACCTCGCATTTGCTTCAGCCACTTGATGTTGCGGTTTTCGGTCCATTGAAAAAACGGCTCACCGCAGCACTTTCTGATTTGAATCAAGCTCAACTTGTACGAATACAAAAGATTGAATGGATGGAGGCATATATTAAAGCTCGAGCCGACGTATGCCATCATCAAAATATCGAATCGGCATGGCGGGGAGCTGGGTTACATCCATTTAATCCACAGAGAGTGTTCCGTACACTGGGTCGAGAGTTTACCCCCGAAGTCGAAATATCCAAAGAACCAACCCAATTTGATATTTTTAACCAAGTCTTCGTCAATAGCTCACCCCCGGATGTAGCAATCTTACAAACAGCAAATAACCTTTTAAATTCAACAATTGAAAATGATACGACTCTTTCAACCTCGGTTCGTCAATACATTCGAAAATTGATGATTAGGAGTGAGCAACTTCGAGCTCAAAGTATTGTTCATCAATACGATGCGAATAATTTACGAGCTATTATGAAGAAACGTACGATACGTAAGAAAGGAAAGAGACTAGTTTTGAAGGGTCATTTTCATATTTCTACGCAAGAATTATGTGATGCAGTAGTGGAAGTCGAAAAAGCTACTAAGGTACAGACAATGAAAAAAGGAAAAGGGAAAGGGAAAGTAATTGAATATGAAACTGAAACTGAAGAGGATATTGGAGAAGAAGTTGAAGATGAATCTGAAAGTGATACTGGAGATTGTATTATAGTTGATTGTTGAGTAATTGAGATTTTAATAGAGTGGTTCCCCGCAATTAGACGCATTACGTCATGACTTACGTTATATTACTCTTTAGTGCTATATAAAAGGTCACCTTTTCTATCAAAAAGGTACTCAAAATATACAAAAGATAGTCTTGATATAAAAGAAAGTATTAATCAAATGGATATTAATTCAAAAGGTTTTAGACATTAATCCTACACATTAGTAAATACAAGAAATTGACAAAACCCTCCTCAAAATGAAAGGGAATAAGCCTACACTTGGAAAACAATGGATACACAACTTCCTATTTAGAAACCCTGAAATTCGAACCAAAAGACAAATCAGAATCAATAATCAACGTGTTTCAGGTACTACTATCGAAATTATTAACAAGTTCTTCGAAAAGTTGAACTTGCTGGCTATTATCCATATTAAGCTGGAAAACAGATGGAATATGGATGAAGCTGGTATTATGGAAGGCCAGGGCTTGAATGGTATGGTACTTGGGAGTGCTGAGAGATGCTTTATTCAAAAGAAGCAGCTTGGCACAAGAAGTTGGACCTCTTTTATTGAGTGTATCTTTGCTACAGGAAAAGCACTACTACTCCTTGTTATATATAAGGGTAAAAGTATTCAACAACAATGGTTCTCTACTGAACTTGATATATATAAGGATTGGAAGTTCCATACTACAGAAAATGAATGGACTACTAATGAAACAGGTTTAGTATGGCTAAAAGAGGTCTTTATTCCTCAAACCGCTCCTTTTGACTTAAAAAAGGCTAGATTGCTTGTTTTGGACAGACATAGAAGCCATAAAACCACTCAATTTATACTTGAATACTTCAAAAACAATATACACCTCTTATTCCTTCCTTTATATACATCATATATACTACAACCTCTTGATTTATTAATATTCTCTTTTCTAAAATATAAATATCAATATAAGCTCAATAAATTAGATTCACTATCTAATTCTATACTTATAAACAAAAGGGATTTTCTTGTATATTATTAGAAAGCAAAATTAAAGAATTTAATTCTGAATAATATCACTTCAGGATAAAGAGCTTCAGGTTTATAGCCTCAAAACCGCACTAAGCCTCTTTTGTTCAGATTATTGCTTGAAAATAGCAATAAAGAAGTTCAAAGCCTGAATTCGATTTCAAATAATGATTTCATACTTCAATGGAATATAGATTCATCTTTGATTCAATAAGAAACACTACAAAAAGCAAATGATCTACAAAAATATATATTAATATTGAAATCTGAAAAAGAAACAGACTTATACACTCATCAATTACTTTTTCAAAAGATTCAAAAAGCATTTGATACTAAGGACTATAAAATTATAAAGTCTAAACATTGAATAAAGGAATTAGAATATAAATTAGAATGTATTATACCTAAAAAAAAAAGGAAGATTAACACTAGTCCAAATTCGAAGTTTTCTGGGATTAAGGCTATATATTAGGCTCAAATCGAAGCTAATGATCATGAAATTAATAGGGTGGACTCTAATAGTATATATAAAATTGATACTACAGAAGATTGTATTGTAGTTGGATAGTTGTTGAATTATTGAAGTTTAAAAATTGTATATATATATTTTATGAGGTGGCCGAAAAGTGGGGTGGCTGAAAAGTGGGGTACTGAACTTATGACACTGCTCTAGATCTCTCGCAATGCAACTATTTCTTCCCAGATCTCCTATGTTCTCCTTATCCAGAGACTCAAATCCAGCTCTACCATGGCATCCCACATATGCAAACCCCGTGACCCGCTTAGATTCTCTCCCTTCGTCTAACCTCCCCTCAATTTCCAATTCCTTGGAATCATTGTCTCTGAGGATTGCTGCCCTACCCATTCCCGCTATAATGGCGATTGTATCGCCATCCCGAATCATCGGTGTAGCCACACCTGCAAACCCTTTATCTGTGACAAAGAACTTGCGTTTCCGAACAATAGGCAAAATTGCGTCTTGAAACATCTTTTGCGCCTCGCCATCCTGCTCCGGAGCTCGCCCGATCAATACTTCAAAGATTCCGGGGTATTTTACTATCGATCTCTGATCGGTATTGCGGATACCAATAAGTGTGCGCCAAAGTGGTTCACTTCCAGGTGCTTGAGCGTTAAGAAGGGCCTCAATCCCCTTGAATCGCGAGACGTAGTAATCACGATCTCCATCGACGAATGAAACAATATGTGTAACGCGACCAAAGCTGGCCATGAAGGCGCAAAGTGTAGTTCCGTCCATGGAAACGGTGGCTCTGACATCTTCAGGCCATTCCCAATCGTGGTTTACATAACTCCCACGCAAAAATACTTGCTGTATGATGTAAGTAATCGTCGGTACAAATGTCCATTCTTGCGGCTTGTGGTAGTCAATGGGAATTGCGGCTCTAGCCTTCTCGCTTAGCAAGCCGAGAATACCATATATCTTGTCGCGTGGATCGGTAGAGCGCAAATTCATAGTGCCTTTTAAGACCGTCCCAAGGGTGAGAGACTCCTTTCGTATATAGATAGTGCCACGAGAGTGCATGAGGAATCCATGATATGTGACTAGAACGCGTTTCGTGAGCTCCATTCTTCTCCAAAATGCTTTCGCTTCGACAGAATCGTATTGAGAATGTCTCATGACAGCTCTCCATACTACTGGATTGAGCTGGATATATTCTGCTATCTCTGGGACGGTAAATTCTGCAAGAAGTTTTTGCCAAATGCGCTCCTCAGCCCTATGATCACACCTTCTAAAGAAACCTGCTCTGTGCCCACTGTTCTTGTATGAGCAGTCTGAATCTACTCGGGTCGAAAGGTCTCTACCACTGTATTATGACACACTCTTTTATATTTATCTCCTATAATGTTTCTAACATCTGAAAAACAGGGTTGAACACCGAGTAAAGTTTACTCAAATATACCCGAATATTTTTTCTAGATATTTCGATGAATATCTAATCTATAATATATTTTTGAATAAGATAAATATCCGAAAAATAATGCCGAATACGAATATATTCATGAGTAAATATTATTTGAATTTATCAAATTGCTAGATTCTTTAATTAATCAAATAGAAATTCATTTCCTTATTATAATTTATAAATTCTAATCTAAATAATCAATTATTAATTAATACTTACGATTATAATTCTGTTAAAGAGTTTAAATGATAATAAGAAACATTCATATATAGATTATATATTTAACTTGTGACTTTTTTATAATTTAAATTTATTATAAAGAAAATTTCTATATAGAATAAAGAATTGTATTTATTATTATAATTTCAATATTATTATTTTATAGATTTGAATTACTAAATAGATTAAAAATAACCTCCTTTTTAAACGATAATTATAAGACGATTATAAAATATTTATTTCGAATATCTTAAATATCTGTCAATTTCTTCGATTTTTCCGGGTATCTGCCCTACTATATGCTTATAGGGTAGAGTAAATACTCAGCGAGGTCAAAAACGCTGGGTCGGGTACGGGTGCCCAAGCCTGCTGAAAAATGTGCCCATGCTGTGATGAATGGTAACCATCTAGAATGAATATATTAGCAGTCACTCAGCTAGTACTCAGAAACTTTCTCAGAGATCTGGGAGTCTGTGACCAAGATTTCAAGCAAGTACTCCGTAGTATAAATGTCCATGATTTCTTGGACGCTCATTTGATGTTTTAGGAATAATAAATTGCCTTTGACTCACTCGACCCAAACATTTCCACATCCAAATAGAGGACTTTTCATTCTTCCATCCACGACGCTATGCTTCGCCATGACGAACTCCTACACCGTCCAAATCCGTGCGAACCAGGGTTGAAACGAGATCTCCATAAGTTGGGCTTAAAAATCACATGTTTGCCAATATGCCATGTCGAATCTTTCAACACTCCACATTGCTTCTTCGCTGCCCTCTGCCTTTGGTCCGAGCCATATCAATATAGTGGTTGCGTTGGAGTAGACTCACCTCATTAGCGCAACCGGCGATGCACGTTCATTGAGATCATCCTGATTTATACATAAAGCGTCAACCCAGAGGATACAAGGTGCGGCAGGAAGACGGAGGTTGCGTAAAGCATTGTCGAGATTTGGACCAATAGCAACCAGGCGATCACCGAGGTTGATATTCTTAGCTGGTGTGGTTGAACCCCATACATACGACAGAGCTTCAAAAATTGGGATCGACTCCAAAGACATGACATTAAGATGACTATTGAGAGGATCATCTAAGTTGACAGCTGGCTGAAGGGTCAGACGCCGGATCTGGCACAGATCTGAGTCTAGAGGTGTATACAGCGTCATGATGAGTGTTTTTATGGTGATGAATGTAACTTTGAGTTCGCGATGCTATAGGTATTTGTATAATTAGCAGTCGAAATTGAGATAGTACTTAGTACCTTCGTCTCCGAGAGCGGTTTGTCATGTTTGGCATCCTTTTCAGCGTGGCGTTCGGTGGGAGCCAATAATAACTTACAGGTAAGTGTCTGGTGTCACACTTCCTGTAGCCTAATACAATACAAGATGAGAAGTTGTCTGTAATTCAGAAGAGCTGGAATAAGAGTTCTGGAACCTCCTCACCGCACAGATTTCAATTTTCCGCTAAAACCATTAATTCTTCAACTTTAATACCCCCTGTTTATTTATTGAATCTTTCTGTTAAACAATAAAAAAAGCTAAAATAAATTAGTAAATATCTTAATTAAATACAAAAAAAATCTAATTTATTTTTAAATAACGTTATTTGATTAAAGAAGTTACAAGTTATTAAAGACAAAAATCATAAATTTTCTAAAAAAAGTCGCTTATTTTGTATAGGAAAAGTATTACAAATTAGAAATTTTTAAGTTTTTCAATTTTCAATTTATATAATTTTTAATAATTTTTTTAATTTTTTAACTATATATAATATTAGGAGTCTGCGAGCCCTCAGATGTTATGGGAGCTGCCTCTAGGGTTATGTAGAAGTGTTTAGAGATCTTTTGAAGTAATTTAGACTAGACTTTAAATAGGAATTTAATAAGGTTGTAACTAATTACAATTCTTGTAATTATAGTAATGAAATTAATGATTGTTCTTAAGCATAAAGCTTTATATTATAATGAAACCTATTTCTTTATATAAATCTTTGTTTTATTTGAATAACTAAAACAGCCGGTTACTCCTGGAATATTATTGTTTCTAAACTATCTATCATAGGATATTAATTCTATAATTCTTGGTGTTTTAGCTTATTCTTTTGTCCTAAGGCTAATCCTTTAGGATATTATTAATTCTAATAAAACCTTTTTGTTTACTATATTCTGTCTTTCCTAGAACCTATTATCCTAAAAACTATATTTTAGATTTCTAAGATATTCTATAATTAATATTATATACATACCTGAGGCTTTCCTTGGGTGCCTAATGACCCCTGGTATACTTGTTACGGGAGCTGCCTCTAGGGTCACGTGGAAGTGTCTAGAGATCTCTCGAGGTGGTTTAGACTAGACTTCAAGTAGGAATTCAATAAGGTTGTAACTGGTTGCAATTCTCGTAACTATAGTAATGAAACTAATGATTGTTCTTGAGCACGAAGCTCTACATTGTAATGAAATCTGTTCTCTTATATAGACCTTCCTGCTCTGCAGAACCTACAGTTCTGTCTTGTCTGGATCCTCTGGATCCTATGGATCTAGATGTTTATTCTTCGATCCCCTAGATCCTCTAGGTCCATCACGTGACTTTCTGATCATGTGACGCGGTATGTTGGATGCCGTCGTAACAATACTGCAGCTGAATCACTGAGGCCTATAATACCATTATAGCCTATAAGTCAGTGATTCTACAGCCTGTTACTAATCCGTTGTAACATCAGATCCCTTACTTTTCGAGAGAGTATTATTTAATAGTTTTTATTATTATAGAAATTTAAATACAATTTTGAATAATAATTATATTAGGAGCTTATAAGTAAAGTTAGTTTATGTCCTTTTAATTTCTTTAACCCTTTTAATCTTTTTAACAATAATAATAATAATAATCATCATAATCATAATAATAATAATAATAATAATAATAATAATAATAATAATAATAATAATAATAATAATAATAATAATAATAATAATAATAATAATATTAATAATAATAAATTCCTTATTTAGTTAAGTTAATTAATATTAAGATATGAATGTAGATATATATATATACTTGTTTATATATAATATATATCATATACATAACTATTAATAACATCAAAAAAATTAATAAGCTTTAATTCTTTATATAGGTTCTTCAGAATTATAAAAACTATATTATTTAAAAGCTCTTAATCTAATCTGTATAATTACTACTTTTTTAATTTTTTATTTAATTCGATTAAGATAGTTTTATTAGAAAAAACAATTATTGTTTTTAGATATTATACTATACTAATAAAATCAAAATTCATTATAATAAATCAGATCGCTTAAATTGAGTCTTACTAAGTAAGAGTTTTGTTTTTTTATATATATATAATACTATAATTCTCGTAGATAGTAAGATTATTAAGAAGGTAAATCTTTAATTAATTACTTATTTTAAATTTTTAAAAATAAAATTTATTGAGTTGAAAAAAATATTAATTTTTTTAATTTATAAAAAAAAAAAGTCATTTTATAGGTATTTTATTACAAAACTTATAGGGTGCGGTAAGGAGGTTTCAGAACGCTTATATTTCGCTCTTTTAATATCCCGTTTCTAGAAGTAATAAATCCATAAGAAACCATCCTGCGTGCTCACGTGATGGCTTTTCAATTTAAATACCAACATTGTCCAAGTCTCGATTTTATTTGCATGCAACCCAGTTTTCATTGACATTATTTCGATTCATGTGTCTCCACGAATCCCAAACTCGAGTGATCTTTGCTTGTTACTGCTGTAGCCCATCGCCTATTCATTAGATAAATGGATATTGCCATGCATGCTCCCATTCAATGATTCATCCTGACAACATACCCATTTACTATCTGCTTCCTTTTTCTTGAACTTAAATATGTATTTGATTGTTCTCAATTCGGAATGTCATTTTACCATAGATATTCTGAGCCAGGCATCCGGAAGAACAGAAAATGTTATACAGTTGTTCTTATGATACGAAACTCCGTTCCCCTCTATATCTTTGTTGGAGTCAGACAGCGGTGACGGTAAGTTCGAGCGATTACACCACTTCTGACGGATCAATGACCCTTTTCCTTCCAGCTTCTTGTGCACCGCCGTTGACTTTACTTGAAGGGGTTGCACTCGTTTTCATGTGTTAATAGTGATATGAAGTAAGAAAATAAAAACTAGCTTGATAAAAGGGAACTCCAGCAGTTTCTAAATACTTTTATCGAAGTAAATTACTGGAGTGTTCACCGATAGTCCTGTAATGTTTTCGCTTACTGAAAGTGAATGAGAACAGATTCAGGGGAATACAGATGCGCTTAGCTCTTCCTGTTTTACGATCAATGGATGAATCTCGGATTAGCCCGGTGCGAGAACACACCTTGATTTCAATCTAAAATATTTATAACCACATTTGTGCTAGATCAAGCTACTCTGCTGGAAAGGAGAGGGCGGTTCCGATCTTAACCCGACTCGAGATTTCCTCAAACTCTAAAATGACATCACAGCTTAGTAGGAGAGCTGTGCAAAGCGGAGTGGCTGTCATCGTAAAAAACTTTAACTGCCGTCGATGAGCATGGAGACTTAGATTGGCTATGGTCATACGTATAGCACGAAAGGAAGTGTAATCAAGCCATTGGCAAAGATAGGCACAAACTGGTATTCGAAGCTTCAGATCTCTGGTGTAATAGATATAAGAAACTTCCCATACCCATCGGTTTACAATGACTTATGCCTTGAATGACATATCAACCGATGTTATGAGAACATCAAGCACTCCCTATAACTACCAAGAGGAAATTGAATAAGAATCCGCTAACAATTCAACTCCTACGAAAGCCATGGCTGATACTCAAACTGGTACCAACGGCCACGCAGGTACACCTTATGAGGATGGGAGAAGTAGTGGGTTTTTCGGACTTTCTTGCTACCTCTTATGTTAGCAATAAGATATAGATGGTAGTACTAGATTAACCATAGAAAAGAGTCGTCAGGAGGAACGAAAACAGATGGGACTTTGCTTTATGACTGGGGCGGCGAGAATGATCTGAGAAATCCGTAAATGGGCCGCCCTCCTCCCAATGCACGGCGAAGAGAAATACTGAATGAGACCGATTCAATTGGTCCAAATTGCTCAAATGGAGGCTAGCTATAGCTGTCCTTATTGTGTGAGTAACCATTGAATAATTGATGCTTCCTCTAACAGGCTCTTTACAGGTCCATTCTTTTCGGAGTCCCAGCAGGTGTATACGGTGCAGGAAACGACGAGATGAGTGCTCTATTTAACTTCAGCAACTCTGGGTTTCCCTACTTATTCTTCGCTAAAACTTCCTGGAATATTGGGGCTGCAATAGTTCCCTTACTATTTGTTCCGTTGACGGAAACTTCAGCTCGTATACCTGGATACTTTGGTGCATATATTGTTTTTCTCATCTTCTTGATACCATGTGGAGCTGCACAGAACTTCGAAACTATGATTGCGATGGATATACTGGGTTCTGCTCATCATCACTGGCGGGCTTCTACCCGTTTTCTGGTTCCTCTTGGTAGAAACTCGAGGGGATATAATTTTAGCCAGAGAAGCCAAGAAATGGCGCAAAAATAATCCAGACGAAGAGCCACGCTATGCGGAAGCTGAGATTGATATGCCATCTGTAGCCACTCGACTTGAGGTCTCATTCAAGCGTCCAATCAAGATGCTTTACACTGAATGGGTCGTGTTTTCGCAAACTCTTTGGGTGTCATTCGCGTGGGGTCTGCTATTCCTCTTCCAATCCTCCGTTACTCAAATCTTCTCCACAAATTACAACTATAACACCTTTCAGACCACCCTCATTCAACTGTCTCTTAGCGTTGGTGCCATTATCGCTACTCTTGTAAATCCGATTCAAGACCATCTATATCTGCAGTCCGCAAAACGTTCCAAGACAGGAACACCCATCCCAGAAGCCCGGCTCCATTCCTCCATTCCCGGTTCTCTGTTATTTACAGCAGGTCTGTTCTGGTATGGTTGGTCATCCTACCCTTTTCTTCCCTGGATTGTCTCCACGCTCGGTATTGGTTGTGTCGGCTTTGGAATATATTCCATCTACCTAGCTGTAGTGAATTATCTGACTGATTCCTACGAAAAGTACAACGCTTCCGCGCTGTCGGCAGCGTCATTGGGGAGAAATACGTTTGGGGCTTTCTTGCCACTAGCAAGTCCAGCACTCTACACTAACTTAGGGTTCCAATGGGGAAGCTCTTTACTAGGATTCGTAGCATTAGTGTTAGGTCTAGCTCCGGTGTTATTGTTGGTCAAAAAAGAGGAGATTAGAAAGAGAAGTCCTTTTATGAAAGAGGCAACTTTTGCGAAAGAGGCACGCCGAACCATAGAGGATGGTGTGTAAGGGTGATGCGAATAGGAGAGAGTATATGAGATGTTTAGGGTTTTGATATAGGGTAGCACCGTGTTGATGGGAGAGAAGTAACGGGATCTATGGAGGTTCTCTGAGCAAGTAATTTTGAATTTCTTGCTATGTCCAACCTACATCACACGTAGCTTATGACCTTGTACAGTACATGCTTATTATATACCATATTTGAAAATAATCACCAAGTGATCGAATCATTCTCTCATCTCCTATCAGAATCAGTGCAAACTAGCATGGTGGAAGATATGGTAGTGATAGTGAAGTGCGCTGTCGCAAAAAAATGCAAGTCTTTCTAATTGAGAAATAAAGAATTAATCAACCAAGTATCTCTCGATGATTCTAATTTCAAATGTGCAACAAAACTTTTTGACCTAGAAAGGACTGACCACTTCATGCAAGGACATTGAAGTGAAATTCTTGAATTCTTTATGATTCGCCTTTCACTCGATATTGCCTTCAATTGCTGCGCATGATTCTGTCTCTCAATGCTGGTATATTTTCATTGATACGCAACTTTCTCATAAACAAATCTTTCACTTGTGGTATCCCATGCACGTCTCAACTGATACATCCTTTCGTCTCCTCACGTAATGGCCCCTAATTCCCTACTTTCCAGCATCCTCCTTCAAACTGACAATACGATTCAATACAATCTTATCATCCGTTGAGTCCGAATCCATTGCCTAGAGATAATTAGAAAAGTTTGTAAATAAATAGAAGATTCAGGAAACGACTCACCATATATGCTACACGCATAGCCTGGAATCTGACAGATTCGGGGCCTCCCTTTCCGAGCTCTGATTCTCCAGCAGCTTCTGGCCATGGAGCTCGTTTTCGTACCTCATCAAATCCAGACTCGATAACTGCATTAGGCCAAACCTCTTCGCTATCAGGGTTGATGTCATTCAAGAAACCACCTTCAGCATCATCTGGCTTTTCACTCTTAAAGAGACTATTGAATATTCTGACTTCGACGTTCTTCGAACCCTCGGCAACCCAATGAATATAAGTCTTTGGCTTCTTGCCCTCCTTATCGTAGACGGCTCGAATCTCAGTGACCTTGTCTCCATCCTTGGAGAATGAAATTGCCTTGACTGGGTATGGAATATGTAGCAGGCCGACGGATTTTCCAGGGGCGAGACGGAAGTAATCTTTGCTATCAACTTCTCTGAAATCACTTCTCTCAATATAAACAGTTTTAGTCAACTTGACCTTGTGGCTGCCCATTGCAGGTACTTTGGGTGAAAATGGGATGTCAAGTTCTAGCTCTTCGGCATCCTCGATGACGACGGGTACAGGATCCAGAACTAACATAAGTCTGGGAACTGTGAGTTCCAAGTACTTACGAACAGTTTGATCGAAACGAGCGAGTTGAATATTGGTAGGAGCAGTTGTTACTCCTAGTTCGTTAATGAACTCAAGGACGGCTCCAGGAGGGACACCACGTCTTTTGATTCCAATCAGGGTGTATAGTCTTGGATCATCCCATCCTCTCACATAGTTTTCGTCCACAAGTTTCTTGAGCTTTCGCTTGGAAAGAACAGTACCAGTAATGCTTAGGCGACCATATTCTCTCTGCATAGGCTCGTATACTTTCAGTGTACTATTCAACCATTCGTACGATACTCTCGATAGAATAAACTCGGTCGTGCAAAGCGAGTGTGTGATGTTCTCAAAACTATCGCAAAGACAATGAGTGAAGTCGTATGTTGGGTAAATCTTCCATTTATCTCCTGTTAGATGATGTTTAGCATCTAAAACTCGGTATGCTGCCAAGTCCCACATTTGAGGGTTTCCGTCTTCAATGTTCTGCTTCATACGCAAGAATGCCTCCCTGGGTTTGTATTCGCCATCTCGCATGGCTCTAAACTTTCTCAAGTTTTCTTCGATCGATTGGTTTGCATGCTCGCATCTGAATCTCGGGCCTCGTGCCTCACCTCCTCTCTGAGCTTTGATTTCAGCATCTAGATTAAGAAATTAGTATTTGCCAGTGTCAAAAGCATACGCGAAGTAGTTCTTACCACCACAATGGCAAACATAAGCCCCCCCTAAATTGATAAGTTCCTCTGCTTTCTCGTAAAGTTTATCGAAATTATCGCTAGAATGTGTAATCTTGTAAGGTGTGAAACCCAACCACGAAACCATTTCCTTTATCGCTGTGAAATATTTCTCTTCCTCTGCTTCGGGATTGGTGTCATCAAATCTCAGATAACACTGACCACCATGATACTTAGCAAATCCGAAATTGACAGCAATAGCTTTTGCATGACCGATATGCAAGTATCCATTAGGTTCAGGCGGAAATCGAGTAAAGACTGGTTTGACAGGACGCTCCTTGTACACATCTGAGAGAAATCCTTGGGCGAATACATTTGATGGCTCTGCTGCTTTGGTCTCTTCTGGCTTATTAGGTTTGGTTGCAGAAGCTTCTTTGGGTGGTGCTGCTGATTTTGCTTTTGCTTGTGCTGCTTTCTTCGCACGTTTTGCCAATCTCTTCTTCAATTCGGCCTTCGAGACCATCTCACCTGTCTCCTCATCAAGCTGGAGCTTGGCCGTTCCTTCGGTAATTGCGTCCGCCATCTTGAACGATAAGATCAAGGCGATTAGATTCTGGTATAGTTGAATGCTCTGAAAACTTTGAAAATTTGTCGAGGTCTAGGAGCTTCAGAGGTGATTAAGATTTTCCACTTATTATTGTTTTGGTTCAACTGAGATGGAGGGGTTCAACAATGAGTCAAAAACGTTTGGAAGCAGAGGGCTGAAAGCACCGACATCCCGATATCTTTACAGGGATACGAACAGTAGGCCGAGGGTGGCTTAGTGGCTTAGCTGCTTAACCACACGTGGACCTGGGCAGTACTTACTAATTAGCGGCCGGTGGCTGGAGCAAAAATACGGGAGTCCGTGCATACTCAAAGTCTCATAGCTGTAGGTAGGCAGCTGTAGCCTTGTGTTACGTAGTATCTCCTAGACCTTCCTAGTGAATACTTTTAGTAGGTATAATAACTATCTACAATGTAATATTTAATTATACTGTAGCCTTGACTTACATTAACCACATTACTCTCTTTCTTCCTTTTAAACCGACTTTTTTTCTCCAAACAAAAACTCACATCTACATTACATCATTTTGTAGATGATTAGGAGCAAAACAATCATGTCTATTATATCAGCTACCGAGATACCAACGGTATCACTTCTCTATCATCTGAAGAAGTTGACTCCCTACAAAGCAACTGATGCAGACGAATTACCTCCAACTCCAAATCAATTCTTCAATGATCGCATCGGCTTGATTCGTGGTGATATCACCCATCTCGAAGTCGACGCAATTGTTAATGCCGCCAACAACTCTTTGCTGGGTGGTGGGGGCGTTGATGGAGCTATTCATCGCGCTGCTGGACCCGGTTTGTTAAGGGAATGTCGAACTTTGAACGGTTGCAGGACTGGCTCAGCAAAGATCACCGATGCCTATGAACTTCCTTGTAAGAAAGTCATCCATGCTGTCGGACCGGTCTACGATAGCTATAAGCCTGAAGTCTCGGAACAAAATCTCGAAGGATGCTACAGTGCAAGCTTGGATTTAGCGGTCGAGAACGGTTGCAAGACTATCGCGTTCAGCGCCTTGAGCACCGGAGTTTATGGTTATCCCAGTGATGAAGCTGCCCCCGTCGCCCTCATGGCTGTTAGAAGATTCCTTGAAAGCAAGAAGGGTCCGAACATGGAGAAGATCATTTTTTGCACCTTCGTTGCCAAGGATGTTGCCGCTTACAACGAATGGATTCCGTAAGTTCCTTCAGTTTGGTGACGATTCATTTTGTTAATATTAGATTTACAGACGTATCTTTCCAACGGCCGAATCTAACGCCGACGATGATTGGGAGGAAGTCGATGAAGTTGAATCTGCTGAGAATGGAGCCGTGTTAGTAAAGGGTGCTGGTTCGGCCAAGGATAGTTCAGAAGCGAGCAAGGTTGAGCTTCCAGAAGTTCCAACTGAGGAGCCAATCGAGGATGAGGGACCTGCTACAAAGAAGCAGAAATCTAGCGATGATGAGAACTTATGATGATTTATGAGAAATGACGAATAAATGATAGTCCTGGAGTAATGGTTTTCGATACGGGTTAGCTAGATCTCTGAAATACTATAGCTCATCATGCCAGAATTTAAATTGTTACTGGAAACCACGCGAAGTTATTCCCAAAAGCTAAGGTTACCCCTCCTTGAAACCCTCTCTTGTGCCCCGCCTTTTTGTGCTTATTAATCAACACAAGTATTCATTCCTCTCTTCATGAGATCTCCAGGTTTGGCTATCTGAACACCCTTGGGATCAAACCACAAACACGGCCTCGATGATTTCACTATAGTCGTCGTCGTTACCTAGGTACCTGATTCGTCGAAATTCACTGATCAAGGTCGAAAATGTCGGCAGCTACAAATATCTACAAGGAGGAGGTTGACTTTGTGGCTCTGGGAAATGAAGACCCAGATTTTGGTAAACTGTAGGTTCTTAATCAGCGAATATTTTCAACCTTCTTGACTTTTTACTATCGTACCTGAAACGTTTTATGTACCTCTTCTGCGCCTGCTGAACACGTTCCCAGTTTGAAGTCAAATGGCCAATTAGATTTTAGCGATCCTAAATCGGTCCAGCAGCTCACAAAATCGCTATTGAAACGGGACTTTAGTCTGAACCTGACACTTCCAGACGACCGACTCTGCCCACCAGTAAGTCTAGTCTAAGCTCCAACTGTATTCAATTACGTGTCGTATTCTTTCTTTAAGCTGAATGGATCAAGGTACCTAATAGGTTAAACTACATACTGTGGTTGCAAGAACTTATTGATACATCGAGTGATGTCTATAACGACTGCTATAACTCTAATCGACAAGTTCATGGGCTTGATATTGGTACTGGAGCAAGTTGCATATATCCGCTTTTAGGTTGTGCTCAACGTGCTTCATGGAGATTTACTGGAACAGGTCTGTACCCTGAGTTTTTCAATCGAGGATGACCATTGATTATATTCAGATATCGATGACAGGAGTATTGCTTTTGCTAGAACTAACGTCCAAAATAATGGACTGCAAACCCGGATTCAGCTCATCCAGACCAAATCAAAAGGCCCGCTGATACCTCTTGATCAGATAGCTTGTCACAGGTAGTTATTGTTATCCCCATTAACTAAAAGGAGTTTTTGTTGATAACTCCAAGCTTAGACTTTACACTTTGCAATCCACCATTCTATACTTCAGCCGAAGATTTAATTTCTTCAGCATCTCTTAAACAGCGACCTCCATTTACAGCTTGCACCGGTTCCGAAACGGAGATGGTCTGCGAAGGCGGAGAAGTATCCTTTGTCTCACGGATGATAGTCGAATCCTTGCAATTACGAAATGAAGTTCAATGGTATACTTCAATGTTGGGGAAGTTCTCAAGTTTATCAAAAGTCATCGAGCAGCTGAAAAAATACAAAATCGACAACTATGCCGTGACAGAATTCATACAGGGCAGTAGGACGAGAAGATGGGCAGTAGCATGGAGCTTTAATGACAGAAGGCCGAGTATTGCAGTATCTCGTGGTTGTAAAAGTTTACCAAAGAGTCTACTGCCATTCCCAACAGAGCAAACGATTACGGTAGGTCTAGTTTGTCAATAGTCATGCTTTACAGTATCTTGAGTATTAAGTAGTCCCTAGGGTAGCATAAGCGACAAAGCTTTCATCGCTACACGGCTACACGATATGTTGTCAAAACTGATTGCGCTATGGAGCTGGGAGTCCGCGAGATTTGTTGGTACAGGCTTCTGCGAGAAGGCCGTTTGGTCTCGAGCGTCACGCAGGCATCTAAGTGAGACTAATGATGAGAAGTCGAATGTTACCCCGAAAGGTCTGCCTGAAGATATGGCTTTTGGGTTCAGAATCTCATTTGGGGACCACGAAGAAGAATCTCCAGGAACGAAAGTGGTTATTCGATGGTTGAAAGGCCACGACAGTGTTTTATTTGAGAGCTTCTGTGGCATGATAAAAAGAAAGTTACAAGACATGTGATGGAAGGTTCTTTTGTAAATGCTCATCCTGTGAGAAGGTTCGATTCAGCAACCAAGGTACGGATTTATATAGATGATCCATTGTTTCTTCAATTGCGAGTTGAAACGAGATGAAGAGGGATGAATTTGTTGTTCTACTCCGTAATTTTGACGAACGAACTAGACGATCAACATGAATTAGAGGAATTACCAAAGAAACTTGAGAATTTTATTAATTTATTAATTTAAAACATTTCAAAAACACGACAAGGCTAAGCGTTGGGATTATTAGTCAGTGGTGACTTATAGTAGGCTAGTAGGCTAGTCCGTCCTTCGTGCTGTATTTGTGTATGTAACCTTCCAGTGCCTTCCTGAGCTTCCTGAGTTCCTTACCATAATACTCGTAGCGTGCGTGCACTTACTTCTTACTTTCACTTTCCCCCGCTTCTTCCTCTCTTCTTCAAAGCACCTCTCGAGCCACCCAAATCATTATCGATGATAGCAAATTTCTGGAAAAAAAAAAAAAAAAGGCATTTCTTTCACTTCTATGCGCAGTACTCGTTTTAATTCAATTTCACGTTGGTCATCCGGTTAGTTTTGCTATGTTTTTCTGTTACTTGATTCTCCCGGATACCAATCAATGTTGTTGTAGTATTGATTGATATTCATTCATTTATCGCTTTCCTTCTGATTCACTACACCCACCCATTCATCGGTCCTTTATACTTTGAAAAGTCGCCCATCACATTGCCACTCAAAACGGTGACGCCCAAGGCATTGATTTCGGCCTTAGAATTACATCATTCTTCGATATCTGTAGTCTACTCTGAACGGTATCACAAAGTTTGCTCATATTGGATCTACGCTTCTAGACCAGGCCTGAGTCCACAATCATGACAACCACGATAACCACGAGATTCAAGAATAGCATTTCACAATCAGCAAGAGCAGACGATGGCGACAATACATCACCCAACCTCCCCTCGACCTCTTTCATCTCGCCCCCAAAAATGAAAAAGAGGGCGTTAGGTCAATTATCTAGCATCATTACAGCAAAATTTACTCAACGATTCACCCACTTCCCTGACCTACCCACTGAACTACGACTAATTATCTGGGGATATGCATTACCCGATCCTCTCGTTCACGAATTATACCCCAGCTGTCCGACCAGCTCACCTTATAACTTCAAAACCAAACTTCGATCAAACAGGCGACGAATTCCTACACTCTTGCATGCAAGTCATGAATCAAGAGAAGTGGCTTTAAAACATTACTGTCTAATGGCATACGAGCCACCGCCAGTGACGGAGCCCCGCGATGCTGTTGCTGGAATTACACCGTTCTACTTCAATCCTGCCATTGACACCCTGTTCCTAAATTGTGTGGCATCGATATTTCTTGACGTGAGGTGGTTTTTGCTTGATGAAACACCAAAATCGATTGCGCCGATGAAAAAATGGAAGAATGTAGCATTGGATAGCTTACACATGCGATTTGTGGCAGTGGTTGCAAGCGACCTACCAACACCACAACATAGGATCCGAGAATTGTTTCCAGATTTAGAGAATTTGAGGATTGCGGTTGACAGTAGAAATAGTGCCAGAAGAAGATTGAGGGCGAGTTTGAGGCCAGGACATGCGACGGAACTGATTACTGTAGGTTCAGATGATGTGGAAGGAAGTGATGAGATTGGCGTATATTTTGAAAAAGATTTTGGTGTTGACAGCAATACTGGAGCGAGTTCGACAACAAATCTAGCAGCGAGCGTCACCGTCACTGAGGTAGACGATGATGATGATGATGACACTCAAGATGAACAAGGGGAGAATAATAGGAGGCCGGAATTAACGATGTGCAAAGTTAAGAGAGATAGGTTCTACGTGGGTCTGAAACAAGACTTCGTTTACTCCTATGTAGGCGCTATACAATTACTGAGAGCTGCACGCAGAAGAATATTCAGAAGAGGGAGATAGGGAGGGTTGGTGAATCAAGCTCAACGGTCAAGCTTTTGCTTCAGCAAAATACCTCGATCTTACGACAAAAAGTTATGAATTTACAGTACCTGGTAGTTTTTCGGACCGACCAAGTGTCCTGCACCACGATATCCTTCAAATGCTGTTCGATGATAAGAAACATCAACATAGTAGCTGGATACTGGAACAGTGTTCAAAAAAAAAAGTCGGCACTTTGGAAGTGTGGAATGGCGACGAACTTTGAAATTCGTAAATAGGGCAGGCAAAGGGTCGATAGGACTTCCAGGTCATTTGAAGGTGTGGCAGGCTTATAGGCAATATTGAGGAAATGGCATGTGTTGACAGAATTAAGGATTAGTAAAGTCAATGCCGATTAGCATTCATTCACTTAGGAAATAAAAGCTTGCTAAGTTACTTTTTTCTTTTTTCTTCATGTATACGTGGTTCATAATCTTTGATCCTGTTGATTTGCTATTCTCCCAAAACAAAACGCTTCATCATATCAACTCGTTCAAAATTAATCGCTTGCTCGCTCACTCATGCCAGAATTGACGGCCTTCCTATCTCCAGTATCTTCTCCCAAATCTACCACTTGGCCTCCTTTCTGTCCAAAAATCCCTTCAAGATGGCGATCAAATTCTCCAATGCACTCAACCACACTCTCAAAGCACCCTCGACCTTGGAGTTGTCATCTCCAAGCTTAACGTAGAAATCTTTTCTGTATGGGCAGGCGGACATGGCGGCGCTGAATATGGGCTTCACCATGAAGGAGTGGTGGGGTTTGAGTGTCTCGCCGTAGGCAGCACGGAAGGATACAGAGAGTTCATCCGCGGGGGCGGCAAGGTTTTGTGAGAGAGCGATGCAGGTGAAGTCTAGACCACTACGGGGAGGGCGGGCTATTAGCTTTGAATTTCGAAGTTTGCAGAAAGGATAAAGGGTTAGGAATATTGTGCCAAAGTATGCCAACTCGATGGCAGATAATGATGGCGAGAATAGTATATAGAATCGTATGAAAATGACATACCGAACCAACCAAACTAAACCTTCAGTAGCGGTGTGCTTCTTGGTCTTGAGCTCATTGACAACCAATTCTTGGAGAGTCTCTGATTCTGCCGGTGCAGCAAGTTGTCTCTCGCGGATTTTCTGCCAAAATGTTAGCACCTTTGTATTCAATCGACAGGAGCCAATTGTACCTTGATGTTACCAGCCATATCATTCTTGACTGGGTTGAATGCTACAGATCCCATAACATCTACAATTCATTAACTCGTTACTTCTCAAGGAGAGACAAGAATGGGCCCATACCGAAAAGAGTGGTAAGGGATTCGGCAGCTTGGAGAAACTCTGTGGTTGCAATTGCATTGTCCTTCTCCTTGTTGACGGGGACATCGACGAATGATTTATCGAGAGTATCGATGAAGGTTTGTCCAGGGGGGATTGTCTTAACAGATGCCATTTTGAACGAGTTTAATTGATATGATTGATTGGAGAAGACGAGTATTGAGATAAAATTCGAAGACGTTCAGAAATTGAGAAAGATGGATAATGAGAAATTGTGAATGAGGGCTTTCAGGAGAAGAACAGATATGGGAGAGCTTTAAGAAGAACCCTTATTATGAAACTCGTGGCATGAATTGAATAGATGGAGTCGGATGTTTGGGTGTTGGGTGGAATTGGTGGGGCAAAGGGAAAGCGGGGGTTTAGTGTTGGAAGTTTCCGTGCGAGGTGAGAACGGCGGTCAAGGATTCAAAGTTGCAGCAGTGTGAAACTTGGGCAATCATATCAACGGATGAAAGGATCTCGAGAGGACCTCTATGAAGATATATTATTGCGTGCAGTCGATGATGCGGATTCAATCTGGAAAGCTCCATAAGATCCATCGTTCCCACGGTTCAAGTCCCTGAAGTACTACAGATTGCTGGTTACTTTGCCTTTTCTGTTTTAGTGCTGTTTATTTCTATGGAGTCGTTCAATGCATGGAACCACATCTTCGAATCCAGATCTTCATGTTCTTGCGATGCTGTACGTCTCGTGGGAGAAGTCAATATCGCAAATGCAAATTGATTGCATATCTGCCCAACGTATTCCATCATGTCAGACTCCCGTGTTGTTTCTAGTGAAACTCATGAAGACCGGCTTGAAAATGATGTATACCACACTCATCCCATCGTTTATTGATTTGTAAATGGGCAGGAAGTCAAGTAAAATGTCAACGGCGAGTCCTTCAAACAAGTGTTCGTGGCAAGATATGATGAAACTTGAAGGGAGAATTTTGTAGTCCGGTCAAGATTTATGAGACAATGAAAGGAGAAGTCGAAATAACAAATGACTCTCTTTCACCTAGCAATACAATATACTCCTTCTGTGAAAGGAAGAGGAGATGCATAAGTCCATTGAATATGGCCATCGGTATCAAAATTCGATTTCCATCACAATACTTATGGTTTTACCTTGGATTTACAAAGCATTAAACTAAAAACATTCTTATTGGAGTGTATCTAATGTTTGAATGTATTTCAATGTCTCAACATATTTCAACGTCAGAAGGGATTTCAGTGTCTGAAAGTCATTCAAGCTCTACATTCTATGCTCTGCAGAATCAATTGACCAGATTGCTGCTGATGTAAGGCAAAATGGAAGGTAATTACATGACGAGCTTTGTATTAGCTACCTGTAGGGCCAAATATCAACGCGAGGAGTTATTCTACAGCTTTCAAGGTGTAAGAGTCAAGGCCTCGACTTATCGCATACTACTCTTATTCGTAATAAAATACCTATGAAAAATCGTTTTTTATATAAACTAATGATTTTTATAAAACCTTAATGAATAAAAGAACTGATTTAAAGATTTAATATATTAAAAATAAATATAATAAGAATCTTATAAATAAATAGTTTCTATAAAATTTCCTTTTTAATAAAGTTATAAATTGTTAAAGTTGTAATCTCTTAAATTTTATAATATATAGTACTTTTTCTATATATAAAAATTTACTTTTTATAGATTTTTTTAAATTTTAAATTTTAAATTTTAAATTTTAAATTTTAAATTTTAAATATCTATAACTTGATTTAATAAAAAATTGATAAAGAATTATTTATTTATTTGAACAGTTTTAATAAAGAAAAAATTTAAACTATATAAATTCGTTTATAAGATTAATCGAATTAATATATAGTTTAAAAGTTAAGAAAATTAAAGTTTTAATGTGTTTTCGATTAGTATATAATAAGTCAGAGTCTCAACTCTTATATATAATCTTATTTGACTTGAATAATAAGCGATTAATTCTCGAGATATTATGGAATTTATAGAATTCGTATCGGCGAAATGATGAGTGATCAATATCTCCTTGTTGGTACGTGTATAGTGTGAAAGAAGGACGAAGTTCTTATTATGCTATGTAGAAGCTATTTATATGTACCTAGGTACTCTGGTGCGCTAGTATTAATTAGCGTACCACTTGTCATTTGCGTTCTTGATATCTTGATTCATCATCATCCATAACGTTAAGTCATGGCGTAATGCGTCTAATGGCGTAATGCGTCTAATTGCGGGGAACCACTCTATTAAAATCTCAATTACTCAACAATCAACTATAATACAATCTCCAGTATCACTTTCAGATTCATCTTCAACTTCTTCTCCAATATCCTCTTCAGTTTCAGTTTCATATTCAATTACTTTCCCTTTCCCTTTTCCTTTTTTCATTGTCTGTACCTTAGTAGCTTTTTCGACTTCCACTACTGCATCACATAATTCTTGCGTAGAAATATGAAAATGACCCTTCAAAACTAGTCTCTTTCCTTTCTTACGTATCGTACGTTTCTTCATAATAGCTCGTAAATTATTCGCATCGTATTGATGAACAATACTTTGAGCTCGAAGTTGCTCACTCCTAATCATCAATTTTCGAATGTATTGACGAACCGAGGTTGAAAGAGTCGTATCATTTTCAATTGTTGAATTTAAAAGGTTATTTGCTGTTTGTAAGATTGCTACATCCGGGGGTGAGCTATTGACGAAGACTTGGTTAAAAATATCAAATTGGGTTGGTTCTTTGGATATTTCGACTTCGGGGGTAAACTCTCGACCCAGTGTACGGAACACTCTCTGTGGATTAAATGGATGTAACCCAGCTCCCCGCCATGCCGATTCGATATTTTGATGATGGCATACGTCGGCTCGAGCTTTAATATATGCCTCCATCCATTCAATCTTTTGTATTCGTACAAGTTGAGCTTGATTCAAATCAGAAAGTGCTGCGGTGAGCCGTTTTTTCAATGGACCGAAAACCGCAACATCAAGTGGCTGAAGCAAATGCGAGGTATGAGGAGGAAGTATAAGAAGTACAATTCGATTTTGAAGGCAGTGAGCTATAAAGCTTCCACTAATATGAGAATCGTGGCCATCGCAGATGAGAAGCCGATATTTGCCACCTGCTTTTGCACGAGTTGCAGGTTCGAAAACGCGTTTTAGCCATTCTAATCCATGAAGATTGCTTGTCCAGCCCTTTGTATTTGCTGAAAAGAACCAGCTACCAAGAACTTCCTTCGGAATCCAATTTTGAAGGACATTTTTACCTTTAAAAATCCCGAGTGGTGGAAGAATGGATCCATCCGCACAAATACACTCTACCATTGAAATCCACTCTTGACGGCCTGGATGTGCTTGATGTTTTGTACGAAGTGTAGAATCGATAATAATTCGAGTTGATTCCATTGTCCCAATTGAATGTCCAGATTCATCCATATTATATTCGTCTTTCTTCTCAATTCCATAATCCTGAATCGCTTTTTGATACGCGTCAAACCAAGTACTACATGTTTCCCTGGTTGCACCATCCATTCTTACAGATTCAATTCGACGGCCAATAACAACTGTAAGATGAGGATGTCGTTTGATAAATCGTGGAACCCATTTATGACCAAGAAGGTGTTGTGGTGGGAGTTCAAGGGAGTCAAATGAGAGGCAATCCAAATTATAAGTCCGTTTTGAACGTAACTCCTCAACCAATTCTTTTAACAACTAATGGCCTGGTGAATAGCCACTAATTGTCAATTGCTTTATCCACTTAAGAAGTACATTCTCTTGTACAGCAGAAAGTTTCTGTTGCGATTGACGTGCTTCAGAACGCGATGAACCCTCTTTGACGCGTCGCGTCACAGTATCTTTAGAAAGCCCCAGTTCTTTTGCAGCTTCATATGAAGACTTATACTTTCCATTTTGAACTCCTAATACTGCTTCAGAAAGTCGAGATTCCATTTCCTGCACTTTTAAACTTTTTCGACGGACCATTGTTGAATTGTTGCTTTTTTGATGGGGTGGTCCCCCACAATTAGACGCATTACGCCATGACTTACGTTATGCTACAATGACGCTTCAATCGTTGTTATTGACCTTTTCACGATTTGATTATCTGGCAACATACGGATAACTACATGCAAGAATATTGTGTAATCATTTCCGGTTCCATCACTCATCTGTCGTTTTCAGGTGGTCGATGTTACCAAGCTGGGGTAGTAGCATTGGTCATTGGACAGGTGACAAAGCCTCTCTGTGTGCATAGCTTACAACGACATTCCTGGAGATGAACATTTCTGCAAAACGCGATTAGTAAACATCACAATGCTCAATTTCGTGACAAAGCAGCATTCAACTTAAGAAAGATTAAGACTCTCAGCTCCGCATGATTAAAGCATATCATGTCCTCGTCCCTCCATTTCAGTTCTCAAACTTACAAACATCAAATCGAACTCCAGCATACATTATGTCTACTGAAAAAAAATCCGTCTTCTTGACTGGGGGTAGTGGCTTCATAGCTTCTCATATCCTTTCCCTCCTGATTGAGGTATGCATGCTTCCATTTGTTATTATGTAGATCCGAGTGTATTTAACAGACTTTGCAGAACGGCTACAAACCTACTGCCAGTGTCCGCTCCCCTACGAAAGCCAATCAAATACTCGAACTTCATCCAGAATGGGTGGGAAAGGTCAAGTTTGTATTTGTGCCTGAAATCACAACACCTGGAGCTTTTGACCATGTTTTCAGAGATCAATCTGAAGAAGACGGCTTTGATTACATCATTCATACCGCGTCTCCAGTCACATTTGCTGTCAAGGACGTGAAGAAAGACTTGATTGACCCAGCTGTTCATGGGTAATTATACAGGCCTGCACACTCTTATGGCCAATCTCTAACATTGACGAAAGCACTACAGAAATTCTCAAAGCGACTCACGAACTAGGAGGCAAGCAGGTGAAGCGTTTTGTTTTACTTGGTAGTGCTGTGTCTATTCTTGATTCATTCGAAGATTTGAATGCTCCGGAACGGGAACCTTGTGCCGAAGATGATTGGAACCCTGTCAGATTTCTTGCTATCACAATATAGCATCATAGCTAATCTAACTCACAGGCGACTAAGCATGATGCAGTATCGTCTCAAAACCCTCTCA